GTGGGAGATGTTTTTGGGATATGATATACCCTCCGGTAAACTGTTACATAACTACTGAAAGATCCACCATTTTTTATGGGTAATATATATTACTATTTCTATGGCCATTTTCAATAGCTTTTTCTATGTTTACCAGGCCGGGTAACTCATCCCCCATATGATGGTCCTGGCTCTTCACTGGAGACCTACTGTAAGTCTGGGCCACCGGGCCAAAGAGTCCACCAACAAGGCGTTGGAACGCTGCTTGCAACGCGCTGAGCCGCCTGCCGAGACTCGACGGCGAGAGAGTTCATAGGGGATGAGGAATTCCGGTAGAAGATACGATCTCTGTAGCAATGTCCATTTCAGAAATCTAAAGTGGAAGTACCTACTCTAAGGCCTATGTTTTTTGGCAAAAAAAGAAAATGTCCCCACAAAATCTGGCCTTTTATGGTACAGTACCTCCATTTGAAGGTCCGGAAATTCCAACTGAATGTATATTTATTTATTGACTTACCTATATATTAATATCTATTCTGTTCCGGTCTGTTCTATTCTGTTCTATTACATCTATTGTATATAGATATATATATATATATCTACTGTATCTATCTATCTATCTACCTACCTACCTACCTAAATCATACCTACGGTCTATCTATCTACCTACCTATCTACCTATCTACCTTAGCTATCCATCTATCTTCTCTAATATAATCTACTCTTGAATTATCTCATCTTATCATATCTATATTTCTATATGCATAAGTATGTACATATATAATGTCTGCATATGTTTATGGGTCCAGACATGTTTTACGTTTGCCACACGATTTGGAGGTGGTGCAACCTACACTCACCCGGATGCAAAGCATCTTCTACATGCTGGCTTCTCCTCCATCAAATTGACATAGACAGGTCAAATAATAGCAAATATAGTAGTGATGATAACAATAATACCAAACAAGAACAATAAGAGTAATCATAGACAATACTGTATAACTAATAAACACACACAAACAATTCCTGCCAATAGTCTGGGTACCCTCTGGTAAACATACAAACAGCTATTGAACATGGCCCATAGAAATAGTGAAGATTTACCACTTAAAAATGGTGGATCTTTCCATAGTTATGTAAACGTTTACATGTTATAAAACATGTTATCCCCATATTGTTGATGCTTAAAAACCCTATAGATCTGGGTAAATTACACCAATTCACTGACCTGACTAGTTCGGGCCAAGTCCGGGCTGGGACGGAACCGGCTCGCCGGGCCCCGAGGGCCGAGCCTCCCAGAAGATGCAGTGCCTCCGGCAAGATCCCACCAACGACATATGGCGACCAACAAAAAATGCTTGGATTGATTTAGAGTCGGAAGGTTCACTTCCGGTGATATGGCAATTAAATTACTTATTTTATCATATTTTATCGATGGATATCCATAAGTAAACCTCCATTGATCAGTAAACATGTTACCATTCAAACCTCCATGGCAATGGACATCCCCGAAAATGCAGGTTTCACGGGCAGGAGGTTTCATGGTCAGCTTCGACAACCAGAGGGTTTTTCTGGGGCTCCCGCTTGTTGATTTCCAGGATAAAAAAAGAAAATCAATGATTCTGAATTAGAATCTCTCCTTCAATCTCCTTCATGATTTTCCAGCTTCACATCACTTGCCTATCTTTTTTAAGGCCTTGCCGCAATTTTTAAAGATATCAACCACTGCCAGCTGGGATCAACCTGCTGGGATCCAGTTTTTTCCTCACACTTTGCGGTGGAAGTTTTCATCGGAAAGTTGGTGAAAAACAGTTGAAAATAACATGAAAAATCAACAGGTCTACAGCTATGGTTACTGGAGGGAAACAGGTGAGGTGAATGACACTTGTCAACTCCGAAAAAAACCAGGCTTAAAAAGCATGCCTGACTATGCCTGACTTCGTATTTCAACTCTGGGTCAAAAACAAAAAAGCCAACTGAGATGAACATCAGACGATGGACGATCGAGGCTTCACTAGCTTCCAGTCCATCAAATTCAACAACAGATCTTTGTTGCAAAATCGCGCGAATCACTAGACAATCAACACCAATGAACTATCCTCACGCTTTCAAACATCAAACGGTGAGGTTCTAAGTACAATGCTTGTGGGAAGACATTGAAGAACCCTTTAAAAAGATGGGAATGCACCATGACTTGATATCTTGGACCCAGGCCACTGTGCCATGTGTAGAGGTAGACATGGCAAATGGAGGGTCCACACTCAAGTCAACCCGGTGATTCAGATTCCATGTTCAAGTGAGTCTGGAGCCCTACATGTTTCCAAGCATGTTGCGGATGATATTTGCCAAATTTCCCTCATGAATACGGGGCCTTGTTCCAACTCTTGTATACTGTTCTGTCTATTTCAGACCACACCATTGCTATAAACCCCAATCAGTTGGGATATACTGTACCCCTTATAACTATGGTATACTATAGTTGTTACCCTCTGGTAAACTAACATAGCTATTGAAAATGACCATAGAAATAGTGAGTTTTCCCATTAAAAATGGTGGATCTTTCCATAGCTATGTTAAATAACCAGAGGGTATATATCTACTTGTAACTGGAAATACACTTCCAAGTTAGGACGAGTTTTTTTTTGGTCCAGCAAAAAATCGCAAAAAAACATCCATGCCTTCTTCCAGAACTCCCGTGGATATTCGCTTCGCATGGCCCGGCGCCTTAAGATATGCCCGTTCTTGGCGCTGGATCGTTGACCGACCTTTATTTTGGGCATTTATGATATAGAATACATATAGTAATTCAATTTAATGAAATGGATAATATGATAATATTAATCCATGACCACATACTATAATATTAAGTACTAAGGAAATCTAAGGAATATGAAGGATTGATTAATTCAAAGCTTTAATATAAACTATAGCTATATCGATGATTTTGCTTGGAACATCTTGGAAATTTGAGTTTCAAACTTTTGGTTGGACATTTCGAGTTTCTCAACCTGCCACCGACTCCTGAACGGCCCCTGACATGAACACATCGGTCCCTCACAGCGCTCGTGCGCGCATGACCCTTTGTATCTGCTGCAGCTCCTCATGATCAGTGGGACTTCACATGGAGCATGGAATGGACCAGCAGCGTCAAAGATCAACACACCGGTGTCTTTCAAATCTGTTTCACTGGCTATGAGTCAAAACAGTCAAATTCCTTTTACCAGAGTGACAACATCCCACACATAGAAATCATCAATAGACTACAGGGGAATGGTCACTGATGGAAATGTTAAGATTTTGTTTGGTGTTGACCTGAAGCCATGAGGCTATGAATAGAAGTTCCAAAACCCACTAATGTCGTTAAAACAATGCCATAAACCATCCCCCAGTCATCAATCACCATTTTTATAGGTGGTATGTGTACCATTCCCAAATGATCCAAATGGGTAGTTTACGACATTGCTTTACCCACATTAAACTGCTACATCCCTTGGCTACCAAAGATTTGCAATGATGAAGCAATGAGGAGATTGGACCCCTGAAACCAATTAACTTTTACCAGCTGCTAGCTATTCTTTTTACTTGGGAGGACGGCTCTCATACAGTTATACTCTATATGATGTGTACATGGTTGGTTATTGTGTTAAGTAATATATAATATATATATATATTACTTGTATGATATCTTAAGATGTATTACGCGTGCATTTCAATGTAGTAGGGGTTTGTAACCTACATATAAAATAGCAGGGACGACAAGTTACACCCTAGCCAGCAATCTTGGAGATATCAAGCAGTCAATTCAATAAAGGTTCTTATGCTGTCCAACTACATTTCAAAATTGGCACGTGGGCACGTGCCCCCTGCAAGAATCCACTATCATGACTGTATACTATAGAATAAATCATAATCAATCCATGTTTATAACTGTAGCTCAACACCTCTATAGGAGTGTGAAACAATCACTGCTATCATCAAGACAATCAAGACCATCAAACTAAATGCTGCCCTTCATCTTTGACATGGCTGCCAAATCACCGACTAACCGCAGCATGAGACTTTGGCTCTTAAGTTGGCTTGTGTTACCAAAAAATCTTGACACATCATCCAAAGTAATGTGGGGTAAAACAATGCCATAAACCATCCCCCAGTCTAGGTGGTATAAACCATTCCCAAATGGGTGGTTTATGGTTGTTTTACCCAAATTGTAAAGGGAACAGAAACTCCACCAACCAAATTCATGTAGGGGGGTTCCATCAATTCGGGTACCTCGAATGGATGGTTTATAATGGAAAATCCCAACATCAAATGGATGATTTAGGGGCACCCCTATTTTAGGAAACCTCCATGTCTGACAAATGGCCATGGATTAAGATTGCCAGAGTCTTCCTTTAAAATTTTACGTGCAAAGCTGTGAACGCCTGCTCCCAATTGAACACACGGTTGATTTTGAAGGAGCTACGTTGTGGAACGAATTCAATCGCTGCAAATGCCGCTGGGCTTCCATGTTGCGGCCGGATTTGGCCTCCAAGGCTTCCAGTGAACAGCGTATGGATGTATGGTATGTGGGGACTTCGAACCCCTGGTACGCCCCATGTCCACATCCATATGTCTGAAAACGCATATCCAACAAACAAGGTTGCTCCCAACACCCGCAAATACAAAAAGGGGTGAACATTTAGTAAGTATATAAAGAAAGATCAAGTCACTGATTTCCCTTCCTTGTGGGTACCATTGACCATCACTACAATACCTTGGAACAATCTTGACAAATCTGGGCAGAAGAAATTGTCTCCTTCAATTCCACCATTCCTAGGATCCTTGCTGTCATGCTGGAGATTTCACTGGAAGATCATTTTCCGAAGCTGTCATCATGATAATCTGATAACAAACAAGAAGGAGCCCACTACAAACCATCAAATCCAGATTCTACCCCCAGTTTGCGCAGCTCGCACCTAGCCCCTGTTCAACATCCCATTTCTTAGGGCTGTCTGGCGCCCGCGTGATCCCGCCCATTGCTGTCACTGCAGCAACGCTTGCGTCGTGGACCCCACGCGTTCACGGGCGCGGGCGGACATGACGACCCAGTTGGTGGTCCAGAGGATGACCTAGGTGCCCATGGGCCCATGTCTGTTGGGTCCCAGAGTCGCCAAACATACTTTACCCTCTGGTAAACGAACATAGCTATTGAAAATGGTGATTTATAGTGAGTTTTCCCATCAAAAGTGGTGATTTTCCATAGCTACGTTAAATTACCAGAGAGTATAGGTTTAATGGGCTCATCAAGATGCCAAAATTGGGGAATTTCCAGCTAGCCATGTTTGATTACCAGAGGGTATCTCACAAATCACGGGGAGGCTTTTCTATATTGGATGGTCTCAGGGTGGTCCATTTCTGGAAGCATGACATTTGAAACCACAGATCAGTTCAAGTTGGGATATCAACAAATGTGTTTTGCTCGGATTGGTGCCAGGCTTTCACATTTCAAGATATTTCAAAGACCACAGTGATTACCTTAGCCGGGTATCATGTATCCCTGCGAAACCGGTTCATCATGGCATACCTTTCACAAGATTCTCATTCCATCTGGTAACATGGCAATGGCAATGGAACATGGAACATCCACCGGCCGTATAGTTGGTCACAGGCCATTTAAAGGGGAACTTTGACACGAAACCGGTGGATGGAATTGTATTTTCCCCTACCCTCTGGTAATTTAACATAGCTATTGAAAATGGCCATTAATAGTGGATTTTCCCATTGAAAATGGTGGATCTTTCCATAGTTATGTTAACGTTTACCAGAGGGTAAATGTCCAGACTAACCCCCAAATAGCGGAACTTTTTTTCACGAAACTTTGCCCCTGGCAATCCGCCGGACTTTTGATGATCAAATCGTTTGAACAAATCCGCAGTGGGCGGACAAACACCCATGGTCTCCTGCACATGTTCCCTTAGATCACAAGATCATAAGTCTATTAAAGCAATCTGGGTTTGTCTAAAAATCGGCTACCCCATTCCATCCACTGCTCTAAAACCTCATTTTCCCCATACAAATGACACATTTTTTGAGGTAAATCGACCATTTTCAGGTACCACGCCCATCTGATGATTTTTCTGGATTTTCATCCACGGGACGCAGACCGCCATGGTGTGAGTGGCGGTACCCAGGGATGTGCCCAAGGCAAGTCCAGCAGCGCTACGTTTGCCTGCGACGCAATCCAAGATGACCACTTCAATGACCCTGACCTTCCAGTTACCTTTCAGGTAGCAAGGATGTAAGATGATGTAAGGGTGGGGTTGGTTATCCATCTCAGAGCTAACTGGAAGGTTAGGTTGAGGTTGAGTAACTAGTCCCTCTCCGCCAGAGACCACGGTTTAAGTAGGATATAATGGGATATCAATGAGGATATCATTGTTTATGATTAACCAACTATAATTAATCCCATCCCCCGTTCATATTAAACACACCCGAGAAACCATGGTTTGGTATGTGGTTTACACATATTAGGACACATTTAGGGTGTGTTCAATATTATCTAGGGGGATGGGACACATATTTTTCACAATAAATTCACCCAAATGGGGACTTGACATGATTTGACCATATTTGTCCCCCAAAAAAATGGCAGTGGTTCAGACCAACCAAAATAGGTCTCTCATCTTGAGATTCTCTGGGTTTGTTTAAGGGAACGTCTATAGGAAAACCGTGGGTTTTAGCATCGAAACATCGGCGAAAACCCTACAAAATGCTTGCGTCAAAGCAGGGACATGGGACATGTCTTTGTGCATTCTGGAAACCAAAATATCAAGGTTGGAGTGTCATCTCACTTTTCAATACTTTTCAATACTTTTCCGTGTGATTGGTACCGATTGGTGCTATTGCTAATCAACATCATTCAATTAACGGGGAACTCAATAAAATATACTATATTGTACTGAAACTGGTTTTAGATGGTAGTGCTTGGGTGGTGCTTCCCCCCGTGCGAGTAGATCCAACAATAACGTAGGAGGCAATCGGGATGAAAGATCATTTCTGTCAGATAAATTCTGTTTTGGGGCTCTGTTCTTTCATCGTTTGTATTCATACTCTACCCCAGTTTTGTTTTCACACAAAACAGGTTTGTCCAAAAACGGGGAACATTTTCCAGTAAAATGTTCAGACGCACCCAAATGAAGGACATCACAATTTTCCCTACATACATCCATGATTTTCTCAGCAGATATCCCCACGGTACGGTGTTGTACCACTATTTTTTTGGTTTAATCCAAATTTCCAACGGTTAAATCTCGAATTGACGTGCCAGATCCCGCCTGGTAAGAGATTGAGCCACGCACTTGGAATGCCGATGCAGAAATAGGACAGGATCACCACGGGGGCCAGGATGAACTGGCCTGTTCTTGTTCCGTGAAACAATGATGGCGTTTTACACATCAAACATTGCGGTTTAACAAGCAAAACATGTAGCTCAACATAATTGAATTCTGAACAATTGTGTTTTTCTTTCTTAACTTGGACAACCACGGAGGGAAAGTGAAATAAGAAATACACTGTACTCATGCGCTACTTTGAATGTGGTTTTAAGCAGCTAAAGCAAATAATTGCCCGTCAAACAATGGGGTTAAAACCATGAAACATGGTGTTAAACAAAGAACACAAAAATACTGCATAATCACAATTATACATAATGTCAACATTTATTCCATTCCCTGATTATGAATAGATCCAACCCTAGACAAGGATTTTTAGGTGATATTCAAAATGAGAGGAAGGAATTCCATTAAGAGGAACCTGCTCAAGACCTGCCGATATCTTCTGCCTATCCAAGATGGCAATGGAACATTCCACCATTCCTAGATGGTTTGCCTCTCGGAAATGAGCATTTCCCAATTCTGCGATGACTGGAAGGTATAATCGGTATAATTTACCCTGAGTCTCAAACCCACAGCACTAACATGTCACAATCACCAAGAACAATGTCTGGTGGTTGACCAACCCCTCTGAAAAACATGAGTCAGTTGGGATTATTCTTCCCAATATATGGAAAATAACATGTTCCAAACCACCAACCAGATCTGAATGTAGTTTTTTTTTTTTTTTAATCAGCTCCATGGCGATAAAAACATGAAACTGACACTGGTGATCCAACTTCATCGGGGCGATCCGTTGAGCTCCTACCCTGATACGACAGTCCAATGTTACAAACACTCAAGTGTGACCCCTAGCCAGATTGAAATTGACATGACAATGAGGGTTTTAACATGGTTTAACTATGTTTAACTTGTATCTAGAACTCTAGTGCCCAAGTGCCTAACACATGACGAAATGCGGGCCAAATACTTGCAATGAATGTGGGTATAATCTGGGTCTGTCTGAAAATTGGGCGCTGATCATCACCCAACGGTTGATCATCTTTCCCATTGATGGCCATTTTGAAAAACGCTCCGATCTCTCCCATTTTGAGACAAACGATTGGGACATCCCACTCCAAATCCCACATAAAACCCCGAAAACCCGGGGTGAAACCATCATTTTTTCAGTCAAACCACCATTGTTTGATGGTCAAATATGGTCAAATCACCATTAGTCGACTCCCAGGATCGTCCCTGTCGAGCTACGACCGCAGCCTTTCAAAGACCCCGAAGACACCTCGCTCTGCAGCGTTTCACTGCTACCGTTCTCAGGCACAGCGATGTTTTTCAGAGATGCGTGCGGGACATGCAACCACGATGGGTAAAATACCAGCCATGCTGTCGAACAAACTCCAAAGATGATCCCTGGGAAATGGGGATTTTAATCCCGCAGTTTCACTCGCCATCGATATGGCAGAAACGCTAGAACAGATAGGAACGCCCCAGCATTGAGTGGATCATATTCTGAAACAATGGATTTTCGTTTCTATGATAATCTTTTGAGGGCAACGACAAATGGATGCAATACTATCGACTATAAGCATCAACCATGTTGCAAAGCCATTAACAACACACCTCGAAGTGGGATACTATAATCATATAATATCATACATATATATATATAAATATAATCCGTTTCTGTTACCCCGAGTACAATTTGGGATTATGATTCGCTTTATCACAATAGCTGACATGTCTGACTTCAACTGTTGATGGTAAACTAATGTACTGTATGTTAAAGTCAATCAATTATCCATTTCAATCCATTTCATGGTTCAACACCTCTGAAACATGGCCAATCTTAGATGGCTTGCAACAAAACCTGAGAAGGTTGGGATTGAAGTGTCTGCTGGATGAATTCATATTCCCACAGCAAGAGATAAGTTGGTACATGTTGGGACCAAAGTACCCATCCAAGGTTTGACCAGAAAACCAGAATCAATCATGGCTTCCAGGGCAAAGTACAACACATGCTGTACCTGGGCATTGTTCCGATGCCCAGGTCGGACCATTGATGATCATAAGTCCCCCAACCAGAGTCCATTTATGGCCCGGTAAACTAATCCACAATCATCAACCAGTTGCTAATCATCATTGGTTCCAGACAATCTTATGTTACGTTGTTCCCGTAGTATCCCCATTTTTGCCGGTAAAGTACTATCTACAACTGAATTGATCCTCCAATGTGCACCCCCCCTTCCGTCTTCCGCCGTGGCGCCGTGCACACACATTCCAAGGCAACGTTGAGGGCACAGACCAGCAGCACCGGCTCGGCAAAGTCGCGAACCTCTGCCGGGTCTGCGGCCAGCGGGAATGAAGCATGGCTTTCCATAAGACCATGTGGATGTTAACCAACAAAAATATTAATTAAACAACAAAGATAACTCAGAGTTTGCGAACTGGAAGATAGACCATTTAGTTCGTTGATTTGCCATTCTGATTTACCCACAAAAAATTGTGAATGCTCATAGCAAATAATGTTAGCCAACAACCATAACTAACATACCTATGCAAACCAGCCCATTTCTAGTTGATTTATGTAGCTACAAAAAATGTGATTTTCCATAGCCAATTTCGCGCGGCAAAGATCATGTGAGCAGTGGCTGCTAAACCACTGTTGGTTGATGATGTGTTCGGGAGTTTATACTAACCTTTATACATTGGGGATTCTTATAAAATCCATGAAAAGGGAAACCCGTTCTTAACCAACCAGTAATCTGAGAGTTTGCTATGGAACATGCACATTTATACTTGATTTACCTACAACAAAAATGTGGTTTTCCATAGTACACAGGTAGTTCACCAATGTTCACCAGAGGGAAACAAAGATCATCTATGGCAATTATTAAATGAAGCTTTGCCTATTATTAATTTATTAGCTGTCTGGATTTGCAATGTTTATTAAGATTGACCATGAACCATGGGCATTCATTACAGCACCAATGGACCCAGAAAAGTCTTAATCCATTTTTGGATGTTTAATCAGTTTGACCGATACCCATATGGGGGTTTCCACAAATGGGGGATCTCCAGAATGACTGGTTTATAATGGAAAATCCCAATCCAAAAATGGATGATTTAGGGGTATCACCATTTCAGGAAACCTCCATATGGACATGCTAACCAGGAAAGTGAAGACACCTACCAATTTGGGATACCAGCCGACCAAAATCCATCATGAGGTCAGAAGACCAGGTATCCATTCAACGTGTCAAGACTAGTTCAGTACATACACTTACATGTTCCGTTCATGTTCTCTCTCTCTCTATATATATATATGTGTGCGTGTATATGTACATATGCTATGGCTATGCCTCAAAACAATTGAAATATATACTGTCACCCTAAACCTGAATTGGTTGAAACATTCTATCCCTAACAAAATGCTAGATTTCCAAATCCCAGATGTTCCTTCCGGAAAATCAGAGTCGGACCCTGCCCTCAACTTGGGATCCCACGAAAACTATTCCCATATAGATGGTTTTATAGATGGCTTCTGGTTGGTGGTTGACCTACCCCTCTGAAAAATATGAGTTAAAGTCAGTTGGGATGATGAACTTCCCAACTGCATGGAAGTCATAAAATTCATATAAATTCATATAAATTCCATGGTTCCAAACCACCAACCAGGCTTAGTTTATGGGTCCGACCCCTCCATCCCCAAGATCGTGCCAGGTTCCCGGCCGGTTCCCGGCCGGTTCCCGGCGCCTCGGCATCTGAGGTGATCAACTGGATCCACCAGATGTGACCCACCAAGACCAGCAGGGAGATCACGGCACCCAAGGCCAAGCCCAGCCTTGGGGACCATCCCGGTCCCGTCCGATCCACGGAAGTGGCGTAAGGAAATTATTCCGACCTTGGTGATTGTAAGGTTAGTGTTCCCTAAATGAAAAGTGGGGTTATCTAGATATGACTATAGGTTAGAAATATGGTTATTAAACAATTATTATTATGATCGTTGATATGTGTGTAAGAATGAATAAGAATTGTCGTAAGCAATTCAAGAATTCCAGAATGAACTTATCATGGGAAATACCTAGGTGGGGCCCGGGTCGGAATAGCTAAGTTGGTTTAGTTCAGTTGGTTAACTGTTGGATTAATATGGATTCATGGGGAATATAGCTACAATTCATGGGCTTTATTTTCACCAACTTCGACCCGGAGGGTTTTTATCACCACCATTAACATCCATTAACTCTAGTTCGATATATCTACAAACAAGCGACTAGTACCATAAATTCTGTGGCGTTAAAAGCCCCTCACCCCCGGCCTCACCTCCCTATGGCGACCACGTGATCCAAGTGGCATGAAGGTCACTTGCGCAGCAAACCGCGCCAGGTCGGGGCGTCCGGCGCCCAGTGCGTTGCTGACGCGGGTGTTCCTCGGTGGGTACCGGTCGGGTGAACGAAATCCCATGGGCGCATGGCATGGGATGAGGATCCGACATGGGCACTTTATATATATATATCCTTATATCACTTTATAGCACACTTTATATATATATATATATCTTTATATCTTCATATCATTGATGTTCAAACTGGGAAAAACATCAATGAATGGATCATGAAGATTTCCCGTTGCCATGCTTGATTGTTGGAAGCTACGGTGCGAACGGTGCGAGATCCAAGTGTGCGACGAAGTGTGACACTTCACTACAACTGTTGCCCCAACATGTTTCCATCAATTCAGTCCGATGGTATGCCAATCAAGTAATGTATTTATGTATGTCTGTGTCTGTCTGTCTGCATGCATGCATGTAAAGGATTCTATCTGTACATATATATATATATATATACATATGTATAGGATTCTTTCTGTATATTATAGGGTTGTATCTGTATATGTATACAGAAGATTCTATAGGTGGGAGTAATATCAGATATAATTTATGATTCATGTAGAAGGATCTTTGAAAAAATCAATCTGTAGGTACGGGTCTTGATCTTGAGGGAATCTCACCATCTCCTAAGGAGACCGTCTGGTACTCATGGCTGGAAGATACACAATTCATATGAAGCATTGTGAAAATCACATAGAGACCACAACTGGTTGGTGGTTTCAACCCCTCTGAAAAATATGAAAGTCAGTTGGGATGATTATTCCCAATATATTGAAAAATAAAAATCATGTTCCAAACCACCAACCAAACAATTTACATAGGCTTTTTCTTAAAGTTGGGGGTGGCCCCAACTCATCCAAAATTAGAAAAAAATTGTATGGTTTCGGGAATCCCCCATTTTAGGAAACCTCGAAATATACGATTTTCTGTTGCCACACACTGGGAGGGTAGGCTTCTCTTTGTCACTTGGCACCTCAGACCCGGCACTGCAGATTTCCCATCTGATCTTGATCATACCCTCCATTAAGCCAACATAGCTATTGAACACGAACCATTTATAGATGATTTATCTGTTAAAATAGTGATGTTGCATGGCTATCCATGGCTATATTAGTTTACCAGACGGTCATTTTCCCAACAAGATAGCCATATATTTTTATCGTCAATCATGGTAATTCCTCCCCACTTGCAGGTGCCACACCCAAATATCATCTTAGTTGCTTATATATATTATAATATCTCAATATACATTCAACTTGTTTCCCATACCATCCTATCTTATGTCCATAGATCACCATATCTAAATGATATGCCCACGACATCATCTCACTTCGCGAACGGTTTTTCTGGGAGCCATCCGGTGATCCACATGAGGATCGATCGGGATGACATGGGATGACCCTCCAAGCAGCGTAGTTACGATATGACCATCGTTTGGAGGATTAAACACCAGGGTAAATATAATGCCAACACCGGATTAATAAACCCCCCCCCCAGAAGGTAGGGGGGTACCTTCTGGCTAGTTCTCTTGGCGACCCCTTAATAATAAGCAACTCTGAAGCATAAAACTTTGGATATGGCTTACGTCAATTAGATCTTAACAGAATTCCATTGGATTTGTTAAAATTTCATGGATCAGAAAGGTGGTTGATTAATCAGGGGCAAACCCTGCTTATTATTAATGGGGGACATGGGCTCATGGGGGGTACCCTTTGGGAGCTATCCAAACTGATGATTTTTATAAAGATTTTAATTAGAAATCGATCATTTGGGGAATAGTTGTTTTTTGAAATGTTCAATGATCAACTAAAACCTTAAGTACAACAATGATGATTTAAAAAAGGTAAAAAAACAAATGGAAATAAATAGAATTGGAAATAAAAAATGTTGGATTAAAAAATGGATTTCAGCACTGGTGGTTTTTTAATCGGGGGGTGTTATTAATCTGGGGGGACCACCTGTTTTTAAATTACATTTTTTTTGGGGGGCAGTGGTGGTTGATTAATCCTGGGGGTATCATTAATCCTCACTTGACATTATATATAATAATATATAATTATATTACCATATATGTATATATATATAGAGTATAGTAACATGATATTACAATATATTACATACTTTTTTACAGATTCCTTTTAACTGTTCGTATCGTTCGAGATTCCCATCTGCCCTTAAAAATCGCCGGGCCACGACGCGGAGCCCAGACTCAAGGGGGGCATGGCGCAGAGGCTGCAGGTGTTGCTGAAGATGGCCATGGCCGCCAAAGATGCCTCGCGGAGTCGCACAAAGGGAGGTGAGAGAAGAATCACAGCTGCAGAATTCTGTGGTTCAATGATGTTAACATAGCTCATATATATATATTATATACACGCATATATATATATAGCCATAGTTGTAGGGGTTATATCCCACCTTTTGAAGGTTATTATCATAGTTATACCCATTACTACAAACGTATATGTACATCTCAAGACCAAAGATGAGCCAAATGTTTAAAGTTAAAGTTCACTTAATAGTGTTGACTGTTCATAAACAATGTCAAACCACAATGGAATGCGTCAACCATGTATTCGTAGAATGTCATATTAATCTTCTTGGTTAAATCCCCATGTTGATGATGAAATATCCACCGTTGAGACACCAGCCGTTGTGGCACCAAAAAATGGTAAAAGTACTCAAAATTATGGGATAAACACACCAAAAATGCTCTGTACTTGGAGGGTCTAGACATGTCTTGATGTGGCTTTGTCTGATATTTAGGGGCTACCCCAAAATCCCATGATTTATCATCAGTTTCGCAACAAATCGCTATTTTTTAATGCTATGTTTTTATGGGTATACCGTACAGTATACCCCATTTCCAGACGCACCCATGTCATGAAACAACGACAGAATTGCACGCGTCAGTGTGCCAAAGCAAGCCTGAGCTCGGTGCAGTGTGCCAGACAGCAGCACCAGAATTTCAGCTGCCCACCATTTCTCAGCGACAGCAAGTGGCTTTCTGAACCATGCAGTTATGGTGTATGTCTTATGACCATACATTGGGATAATTTAAGGTAACATGTACAGGAAACTAGAGTTTGTCTGATCAAATATCGAAGATTCCTGAAAAAAGTCAATAGCACAAAACTTCCCGATGCTGCGGGGAAAATAGCAATTCGTTTTGAAGATGTTTACCAGCTAAAAGCATTTCCAACACCACCTATGGTATATCTATACAGTAAACAGGTGACCTTCAACTCGTCCAAATGTAGATAGATACGATTTACTGGACAAGAATTTCGGGCTATAAGGCTCGCGTGGTTGAGACGAAACCATGCGATGTTCACTCACAGATTTGGGGAACGCTTACAGGCTTACAAACCAGAGACACATTCTTGAAACGGCCAACAACTGGTAGATCTTGCAATGTAGAGACAGTGCAACGAGGTATACGATGTTGGAAGAATGTAATAGCAAATCTTAGATACCCTCGATTTCTTGTGTAGCTGGTTGTCGTGGAAAAAAAACATAATACCCTCCAAATGGTAACATTCGGGGGTAAATGCAATATGGTCTATGATTGCCTTCACCACATTAGTCACAGTAGAATACACCCCAACCAACATGGCAACCGATTAATGAATCAAACTAATCACCCATTTACAAACCAACAAACATATCTGAGGGACCGCTTCCAGAGAGACTTGGGGGTGCAGTCCAGTTCCAATTATAAGCGGATACCCTCTGGCAATCAGACGTGACTAGCTGGGAAACCCCCGAACTAGAGGTTTTAGAGGTTTTAATGAAACAATAACGATGGAGATTGTTCAGCACTCCATGTTTGATTACCGGAGAATATATTTCATCATGTTGAAAGTGGTTGTATGAGACAACATGAGACAACATATGGAGGTGCACTCACCATGCATAAAATCATACCCCAACCTTCCTCTGTCGTCTCTGTATATTTATTGGTTGCTTAAGAACGGATTTCCCACTTCATGGATGATGATATCGTGATGATCCCCAATATCTTCGGTAAATTGTGGTAATTACATTAACATACTGCGATCATCAACACACATACCCTCTGGTAATTTAACATATAGCTATTGAAAATGGTCCATTTATAGTTGATTTGCCTACTCAAGATCATGATTTTCCAGTTCGCAAACTGTTAGTTTACCAGAGGGTACCCCCCCATCATCAACCAACAGAGGTTTTGATCATACCTCCTACACTTCGCAAGGCACCGAGATCATCAGCAGGCTGGGCAGCACGAGCCGAAGCAGCGGGCCCCAGTTGGACCACACCTTGCCTCGACGAAGGCGGGATCTCAGAGGTGAGTTCAGCTTGGTGATACCCTCTCCCATAGGATCCATGTATGGTATATATGCTAACATTGGGGGTATATTGATGGTAAATGTTACCATATATGGCATACATGGATCCTATGGGTCTGGTAATTTGAGATAGCTGTGGAAAATGAATGACTGGTTGGTGGTGCAATGTGCCCATCTTGAAAAATATGAGTTCGTCAACGGGAAGGATGACATCCCATATATTATGGAACATAAAACATGTTCCAAACCACCAACCAGATGAATATGACACATTGACTCAGCTTTGCAACCTAACTGCAGGTTCTATAAGGTTCCGGGCTGGAAGGAGCGGTGAAGTTATGTTCCGAATTTGGGGAGCGGCACTCTTTTTGACACGACGCACCACTCTCAGACCCAAAGACTATAACCCAAGAGTGACTGCTGTTGGGAATTCATAGATATCCGACGACATTGAATCACCAGAGGGTACAACTGGATGCATGCATAATTCATAAGAAACGCCAGAAACTAAACCATTTGAGGGTAACATAGGGGTACCCCCAAATCAATCCAAATCATCCATTGATAGATGGATTGTCCCTTAAAAACCATCTAGCTATTGGGCCCCATTTATGGAAACCCCTAAGACCAGCCGGCTGGTTTATGCTGTAGGCAGCTAAGCAGCTTGAGAGGCCCTGCCAGCCTTGCAAAGCGCTGCGCGGCAACCAGTACAATGTGGGGCCCCCTAGTTATGTTTGTTGGTTTAAAAACATTCATAAGCCCCATCAAAATTTTAATTCTAAGTGTATTATATATATAATATATATTATATATTATATATACATATTATGTATAATATTAAACCATACAAACATTGGAATCTATCGTTTGGGGGCCACACTCTGTACAACACATACAAGCAGGTCGAATTAGCTTTCATGGAGTATGGATGTGTTTGGTTAATGTTGGGGCATGTACATCTACCAAGTATGATCCAACATACCAGCGCTGGACGCGCAAAGCTTGGGCACAGAGATTTTTTCAGTGCCAGGGAATCCGTCCGACAGCGGGATCTTGAACGCATCACACAGAATGTCACTTCACCATACTTCACCACGATCCCAAAACTCTCCCAGTCCGAGATTAAGACACAGAAGCATCCCCTGACAACCGAGCACCTATGTTCAGCCAGGAAACTCATGGAATGATTTGACCGCAGCGCCAGTCGCGTTTGATAAATCATCCAACCTCAGTGTCCAAACAGGGTATGTAGTGCCCCAAACTGGTGTTCCAAATCGCTATGCCTAGTCTAGTCTGAACATCCATCTTGATGTACAGGCTGATGTGTCTTTGAAAAAAAAGACAAACGCCAATCATGGCCAATCCACATCATTTGACCAAGTAAAGATTGGTGGTTGGTGGTTTCAACCCCTCTGAAAAATATTAGTCAATGGGAAGGATTATCCCATATATTATGGAAAATAAAAAATGTTCCAAACCACCAACCAGCATGCGTTTGGGAAAGTCAATTCCTAGCGGCCTAGCTACCTCAAGCTTTACCACAGGATAGACCTCCAAACTGGGATGTTCACCAACAGGCAAAAGGCCCCCCCCCGTGATGCGGCTCGAGTTTCACCCCCCCTGAGTACTATAGTTCTATAATGTTATATAGGTATATAAGTATATAGCAATATATAGCAATATATAGCAATATATCTATAACATATAGTAATAGTTACTATGTAATTGTACTATAGTAAAAAAAGTAATGTACATATATATATATATATTTGATCATATGTATATATGTATATATTATTGAACCCTAGTGAACCCCAACAGTTCACCAAGTTAAATATGTGCGTCAACTTAGCGACTTCGTCGTGCCGCGGCCCCGATCGTATCCATCCCGATGAACATCATGGGTACATGAATCCCTGTGAACGTGGATTGATGACCGACCCCAGATACTTGGCTACAGGATGCTATATGGGGATGGGTCAAAACTCTGGTACCTAGTGAACCCCAAAATAGCTGGTAAATGGATGTTCATCCCACTAAAATGTATCTATAGGTATTGACCCATAGCCATATTAGGTATATTTTTCCCAAGTTGCTTGACGATACTCGGCACAGAATCTTGGCCTACGAACAATCCCTCGGAAAATGATCACGGCGATCTGCGGAAAAACCCCTCTGGCCGTGTGTTGCAAAAATCCCAGCATGGATGTGTTGTAGGATCAAGGAAAAAAATGCCCTGAATTCACCCCAAAAAAGGAGGCCCTAAAATTGGATGGTTTAAGATCTGAACAAATGACCAGTTTAGTGCGTGAGATTGGTACCTTAAATCTGCAGGACACTCAATGCCTGGCACATGGCGTAAAGAATGCCCGCTGGATCTCTGGCTTTCTTCATGTTGAGAAACACGTTTGCCAAGACCTGGATTTGCTTAATGTTTAGAGACCCCCCAAAAAATGAATAATAATCCCAGTAGATTCTCCAAATGGTGCATTAAACAATGGGAACATAAAAGATCATGGATACTGAAATGCCAAACCTTCGACACTGAAATGCCAAACCTTCGAGTGTTTCACTGCTCCAAGCATCATCCAATGGCTTTGTCTGAAAAGGGAGTACCCCAAAACAAGCCTTGTTTACTGCTTGGTGGTTTCAACCCATCCCCCCAAAAATGCTTCATATACTGTGGATGGAAGAAATCCTGCACCACCTGGGATGGTAGAAAGCCTGTAAATAATGGGATAAACCACCTATGGTGCAGGATTTCTTCCATCCACCGTATGACTCGTCTCAACCAATCATCCCAAGTATAGTTCAACCCCACAACCATCCTACTATCATTGCTTTTTTCCATCAAAATACCAAGTGAATTTCTTCGGTGGCCCCCCTCGGTTGTGTTTGTTGGTCAACCCCACTAACCATATATCCACCATAAACCCAACAGTGATTGGACTTATGTTTACCAACCAGTAAGTTAATGATTTATCAACCCCACTAACCATAGAAATCTCATGAAATATCTTCCATGAACCTAACAGACTGGGCCAAAAAACTGCTGCAACTCACCTGGAAGATCGATGACCCGGCCAAGCAACACATTAAAAAACCATGACCCAAAGACGTGGAGATCGCCGCACCGATGGCACCGAGATTCACCACGTTCACCAGGAACCAACCTTTGACGAAACGTGCCACCAGGGTGGCTTGATTGGAGCTGTGGCGACTCGTCCAAATGGCTTGGAGGTTTTCCAAATAGAATCTGCAACCCCCAAATAGTGCTGATCTATTTTTGATGTCCTTGTCTCAAGACAGTCCCAAAATGAAATGGTTTTCCACGCAACCTGTCCTCACCATATTGCTGCCGAAGCTGGCAATTCTTCAACAACTTTACAAAGAAAATACCCGGATGACAATGATAGCATCATCATTTGGCTGACAAGTGTTATACATTTCCCGAATCACCTGCAATAGATGCCACCATTTGGGTTTGTCTGAAAACAGGATACCCCTCAACTACTTTATCAGCATGTTGCCATCAAATAGCTATTTTGGGGGGTAAAACTGTATAACCCATTAAAAAAACAATCCATTTCACACATCCAACATGATCAACATGACCCATACGACGGCGAAATCCAGCGACACACAGGGATGAAGCCTGCGAGCTCGACTAAACCACCTTCCGAGACAGCTGATTCAGAATGGAACGTCTCCAAGATAGCTTAAGATACAGTCGATTAGATGAGATGAATTAGATAGACGTCCGAACAAAAGATCCTCAAGTCAACCATTTGACTTGGATCAACTAAGTTTAAAACAATGATGTACATGTTGGACACCGGAATCAAAACATCACGAGTTTCCGGTGGTTCTTCAAGTCTTTGAAGGCTGCTCCAGTGAATCCATTTCTATTGCTGCAGGGTGCAGTATGCCGCGAGACTGGTGAAAACGTTGCAACTGCGCCACACAGATCATTCAGTTCAACTATGTTAGCCACAAACTCAGATCATTCAGTTAAACATATGTTAAACATATTTTTGGGGACTAACGGACTAACTAACTTGACGTCCGGAGAATTCCTGAACTGCTGGCCACGGCTCCACCAAGTGGCCCCAAGTGGCCCCAAGTGGCTCAACGGATCATCATATCTCCCATTTCAAGCCATTTCAATCTCTGGGGATATCTGGGGTCCCGGTATACCCGGTATCTTTTGAACTCCAAATGAAGGAAATCCCGGAAATCCCCGGGGCCCAGCCCCCAGCTTTTTGAGAAGGTGAATCCCCATCTTTCCTACAAACATCTCCATCAGCGCTTGAAACTTCAATGGATTGGTTTGAGGGAAAATCTAAATCTACCAGCGATTTTCCCAGGAAATATGTGGGGGTTGCCGTAAATTTTCCCTTAATCCGTGGACAATTAGACGAAATGACTAGGTTTCCAAAAGTACCCCAGCATCACGACCCGCGGTGCCTGTTGCCTGCATCTTTGTCAGGCGTTGAGCTGCCAACCACTTCTCCAAGACCACGGTGATGGTATAACCTCGAAGCGGCGAAGTCGGTGAGTTGGGGTGGAACCAAAATCTGAGGTATTGGTTGGTACTTGGAACTCAGTAATTTTAACATTGGAGAAGGGACAAATGGCCAATTCCACAACAATACCTCAATGATTGGGATGGTGTCATCGAATATTGGCGCAGTTCACAAGCATTTCAAAAGCACCAAACGGCCGGTGTGGAAATGAACCATCCACATAGCCACATACCATGGTCAATCTTTGATAGCCCAGCAAAAAATCCTTTGCTGGTTACTTTCTGATTGTCCATGTACCCTCTGGTAAACTAACATATAGCTATATGGAGAATCATCATGTTTAATGGGTAAATCAACGATAAATGGCAATTTTTAATAGCAAACTGTTAAATTACCAGATAGTATAACATGCACTAATAATTTGCCTATATAATCCTATATATATATATAGCTATAGTATGCTATAGTTGATAACACATCAATAAATTACCAAAAAAAACTTCAGAGATTTTCCCAGCCATCTCGACCGAGACATCGGTCGACTGATCCAAGGAGCAAATCAGGCCAGGAACGAGCCATGCCCTTAGAGCGGGAAATCTCCCGAAAGCGTTCCTGGATGTTCCTGGAAGCCTGTGAGAACCATTGGAGGACTGATTATGTCATGATTATGTCATGCTATTGTCATGCTAAATCATCTCTGGTTGGTGGTTGACCTACCCCTCTGAACAATGATGGAGTTCAAGTCAGTTGGGATGATGAACTTCCCAACTGAATGGAAAGTCATAAAATTCCATGGTTCCAAACCACCAACCAGATCTTATGTCCAATCAACACATACTGCAATTATCCAAGTTCATTCTTAGAATTCCATGTTAAATCCGACATCCAAGTCATTCCAAGTCGATTCCACAGAAGCAAAGGTCGTTTTCCCACGACCCAAAGAGACGAATCAAAGAAGCGTGGAAAAGAAGGGTGCATCTGATCTTTCATTAAAATCCCAGAACCTTACTCTGCAGTAACTAACAAGTTGGATTAGACACCTAGATCAGACTGTATCCAACTGTATCCCTCACAATCAGAGAATGCAAAGCGAACCTGTCACACACAAACCACCAAAAAAGACAACTAAAAGGCAACCGTAATTCAAACACGACACGTGCTGCCCATCTGTTGTCTGTTTGCAGGGTTGTGTTATGTTTGCTCAACAATGCTCAGTACTTTGTGCTTTCCTGATGCTGTGATTGCGACAGTAGATTCACCTAAAGATAGGCCACCAATATCAGCTCCCTAATATAAGAAAATCATATTATAAACACGTGTTTTTCCTTTAGTACAGTATAACATAGTATAACCCATGTCTGAACAAACCCAAATGAAGCAACCCCTATGTTTCCCAAATGGATCCAAGATATCTACTCAGTAGAACCACCATTGGTCGTAGGAACAGATAAGTCACCAATTACAATTTTCACGACCCAGCCGTTGTTCACTGGCTTAAGAATCCCTGTATGGTTTTGGCTGGTCAATCCCCCCATGTTTCGGACCAATGGTGACTTCAAAAATCGCTGTGGTTTTCCCTTGCCCATTGAGTTCGATGATGTCTCTGCTACGTTAAAGTACCAGAGGGTAACCCCCCATTCATATCCCCATCTCCGTTGGTTGAGTCATCTTGAATCCCTCTTCATCATAAAATCCAATAAACACATTTCAATACATTTCATTAAACCACCATAAAATCCAATCAAATCCTATTATCCCTATGGATCCATGGCCACTGTCTGAGAAGGTACGGCTAACCCCTTAGTCATCATACCCCAAGTACTCCCTAAGAAGGCACGGCTGGATCCATAGGGTATAAAAAAAACATATATATCACCTCTTCATGATCCCAGTCTCAGGTATTCTGACGCCAATGATGCCACAGCCTCCTCCTGACCTGACAGGAAAGACCGGTTGGATATCCACACGGATTCAGGGTATCGTTCAATCAACAGGAATTAGCTCAGGCTGGAAACTGAAGCATCTGTTTCGGGATGATAAGGATGTGCATATCATATAATATTGATAAACTTTAAATATACGTATATTTATATTCTATTATTATACGTATATTATTATACATATTTTTGTTATGTATACTATTGTTGATCATAAACACATATAGTCATTAGTTTATCATATATTACAATTATGTATAAATATACATATACGTAAATGTATTTAAATTCATATGGGGAATTGAGAGCAGGGTCAACATGGTTCGGAGAAGTTTCAAAAACACTCGCTAGACGTGGCGATTTTGGGTTCGGTGGCACCCAAGATTCACATGTACACAGTACGTGTACTGGCATGGCTCCAAATTGCAACCCAGTTTGGATCTTTAGATACCCTGATCATATGACTCGTGGATGTCAATGTCCCCCACAGGTATGGCTTGGACATTATGCAGGAGATTCCCATGATTCATCATGATTCTTAGGGTCCTCTAGGCAATACAAGTGCCAATTTTTGCTCATCATCTCTGTTTTTCTCTGCCGTGAAGAGATATCAGACAAGCGGCCACAGGCCATCAGCAGTGATCGGCCGTTAATCCAAATCAGGGAAACCACTGCAACGATCATCATGGAAAGCAGCATACACCTGGCCGTCAGGTTGCAGGATTTTTTTCAAGGCGACTTTGGGGTCCAAGTCGCCACGTCAAAATTAAAAAAAACACTGTCATTCAAAGTTGTCATCCTGGTTGGTTGATGGCAAACTTCCAATCCATTGATTCATTTTACTCAAGGTACTCCCAGATAGGAACATATAGGTCACCGCACATAATATGGTACTTGGGTGACCCTTTCAGTTGCTAGCTAGGTCTGCTTAGCACCCTGGCGTTTAGCCTTTTTTTCCCGGCCTTTTTTTGGATTACATCCTGCTTTTGTTGGCTGGTTTTAAACCCCACATCAACTTTTGTAAGACAATTGTTTTGAGCTGGTTGGATGACTTGGTCAACCACAGAAACAAACAAATGGGACTGCCATCCTATCATCTTATATCATCCTCCTGTGTCCAAAGAGAACCCATCTGATGGCAAGTCTCAGATACCCTGCGCAAAGAAAGAGCTACGAGTGACCAAAGTTCCGACCAGGTAACACATTAATTTGAACATGGGAATAAGATGGAATAAGTCGTATACTATATGAATAGAGAAATATACGCATGGATTATACAAGATTATACAAGAACATTCCCTCATCAAAGTACTATGGCAAACCGCCCATTTCCACCCAACAAAACCCTTTCCTCTCGTCCACTGGAGCCTCTGGAGACTGAGGGAAAGCTCCTCAAAGTTTCGGGCACCATAGGCTTGACCAGCTACTGTCCTCAGCGGCTGATTTCCTGGGCTTTTCGCCCCTTTTTTGTGAACAACTTTCGGAAAGGTTTTTGGTGCCCCCTTCTTGGCCTGAAATCAGGACATGTCCCACTTAAGTCACTTGCCATATTTTTCTTACGGCTAAAACCACATCGTATGAACATACACAAAGCATATCACAAGCAATACTTTCCACCGCTGTCCTGGCGATTTCGCCAGTTGCTCAAGCCTGACCTGCCAGGCTGGGAGCCAGGGCCTCCCGATAAATTGGTAAATTGGAACATGCCTGGGCTCAGGAAGATGTGTAGTTTATGTAAACGCACATTTTAAAAAATGATATTATATATATAGAGGTGTCCTAAAATGGTGGTCTGGGGTAAGCTTTTCCAAAAAATACCCATCCATTTTGGGGTACCCCCATTGGAGGAAATTCCCTTGTGATAGTTAGATGTGGCTTACAAAGCAATTTCTTATAACTATGCGGCCCGAAAACCTGTGCCCCTTCCTGTGCCCACATGTCTCAACAACCAGGTTGTGACCGCCAAGTGTCTGCAAGGTCCCAGCCACGGCAATGACAATGCTGTAGCCTGGGAAGATGGAGACCGACAGCTCCGAAAACGCTCCCTCCATTCACCACTGGATAGCCAAAAAAATTGGAAAGTCAACTGATGATCCTTTATCCAAAAGGTGTTTTTTTGTGATCGAATGGGAACATAAATAGCTGAGACCACCAACAATTTAAGTCTAATGCCGCTGAAAGATTGTATCTGTATGATTGTATGCATCTGTATATCTATCTGCAGCCTTTTGGCCAAACGCAACGAATCTAAACAGCGTTTGATGATCATACTACACACCCAGAGTATGGACAGAATAGCACAGGATAATTCCCTCAACATGAGAGACGTCAACATAATATGAATCTTGCAGCAGGTGTCAAACACACCCACATAGAAACATTAGGTAGTTAGTATCATATGTATGTAAACCTATGTCATTATGTGTACTCTGTATTGTGTAATATATATATATACACTGTGTATATCTGTATGTATTATATATACACATACTAACATCTACATATTGGATGCTGGAAATACATCACTGTATATATATATATACACATATGAATCATATGGGTTTGTATGAAAATAGGATACAACCAACATTTAATGGTTTCCCATGTTCAAACAAACTCATGTATCATTTGTCTATAGTGATCCTGGAGTAGATAGATAATGTAACAACCAAAGCATCCTCACTAAAATGGGAATATGTTACAATTTTCCACATTCAACTATATACTTCAGATCTTCAGTATAGGCATAGATAAAAATGGTTGTCTGTTGATTCATCTAGATTTTATTTTTAAGTAAAAGATCCACAAACGGTTCATTTTCCATAGCTATGTTAAATTGCCAGAGTGTATGTGGGAAGATATAGGTTTGTCTGAACATAGAGTGCCCCGAATTGCAATGGTTTATCATGGTTTATCATCATTTTCCCCAATACAATTCCCATTTTGGGTACACCCCAGTTTCAAACACACCCACATGTCATATCAAGTTGGGTTGGATATCCCATTCATATCCCATGTAAACCCACATTTAGTCGTTCATTTTTTTTTCATAGTGCGATGATAAATCATGTATGTATAATTGAAATAAGATTTAAAATAGATCTCATTTTCCCACCATTTATGAAATACCCTCTGTAATTTAACATAACTATGGAAAATCACCATCTTTAATGGGAAAACTCACTATTTCTATGGCCATTTTCAATAGCTATGTTAAATTACCAGAGGGTATAAATCACGATCAATCCCTATTTACTTCGATCATTCTCCTTGCAAAAAAATCCCAAAAATTGCATCTCGAAAACCCGTGACATTCGCCAAGGAAATGGCCAAGCCAACAGCCGCCAGTTCCAGTTGACTTCGGTGTCCTACGATGATGGCCTCATGGTACCCATGGCATTTCATGGCATTTCATGGCATTTCATGGCATTTCATGGCATTTCATGGCATTGTTCATGGCATTCCAAACATTGTGATTGATTTTTTTTAGAGTTGAATGCTGATTTCATGGAAATTCAATGGTGACTTAATGGGGTTTAATGGGATTTATGGAATTCATTATTTATGGACATGCCGAACTTATGGTAGCAAACATGGTGATTGAATGGGATTTGAGGGGCTACTAACATGCTGATGGGCCAGGATGAATTCTTCCAACCCCCTATTTGACAGGGCCTACAATGTGGCCCAGTTGCAACTTGGTTTACAGTTATAAGTAGCATAAACAATAATCATCGGATTTATACAAGGGCCCCACTTTGCATGTTAATGTTAATACATGTGCAGGCTGAAGCCCCAGTCCGTGAACGCTAAGTTGGGAACATAACTCCAATAATCGTTGGGGTTGTGGTAGGGTTATGGTAGATGCATCAAACTATTTAAGGTGGGGTTATAAACCAACAGACGGGGGGCCACCTTGTAGCATATACCACGATTCCATGCTAATAAAGAACACGCTAAAGTTTGCACGCACGATAAATTATCATAATTATGGTAGTTTTTTAGTGTATATAATATATATATAGTAGGTGCTGGTATAGTATTGTCCAAGAAATATGGTTCGACTGCCTCTGCAAACATGAATAGAACCCCCTTAGATGGTCATCCATTGATTTCAGAAGCAGCAACAGCTGGAAACGAATCCTGGGTCCTGGATGTCAACCCCTCACCACTTTTTTCGGCCTTGCTACATCTGGGGGTTATTTGACCTATGTTGATTCTGGCTATAAGGTAAGTTCCAACAAGTTCCAAAAGCCGCGGCTTGCCCCAAAGCAATGCCCCATGTTTCTTTTTTGGTGTTTCCAGGAACTTACCCATCATTCATGGGCTCTTGGCTTGTTGCTGCCCTTTGGTAAAGCTGGGAACCTCATCGGAAGATGCTTCTTAGTTGATCAGCGATGTTTCTAAACCCAGGTGAGGCCCAACTTAAAATTCTCATGGTCCAACCTCCATTTTTTTTCCAAACATGTGGCTTTGTCTGAAAAGAAGGTACCCCAAGATCCAATGGTTGTTGGTTGTTCATGATTTTCTCACAATGGCAAGCCGTGGGTATACGAGATGTTCATACATGTTCATACAAAGCCATGTCCAAACTGATTTCATCAGAAAGCTGAGTCGCTGCTGTTGTAATGATCAGCCGGTTCGTGACCAGACCCAGACACACCTGAGGGCATTCCGGTTCTTGACTTGAGCGGAGTTACATATCAAGGGGCACAAAAGTTCAATGTGGCTACATATAACAATATATAATAACAATACACAATGCAAGTATATTCATCATTCATCTTTAGTTTCCAATCGGAGTAGATATAATCAGGTTGTTGAGTACATTCATGCCTGGATGCTTCCTGGAGACAGGAAATCTTCGAATAGATAGGAATAACGTGAATTAGACCATGTGTTGGCAATCTTGAATCTTCACGATCATTCACATGTTGCTTGGTGCCAACAGCAAATCAAGCCGGGGCAGTCACTACGAAACAGCATGGCTTTGGGGAGGGTCATCCGCCAGAAGATTTCAACATGGGTTTACGCTTTCCTGGCATTCGCTACAAGTCCGTCTCTGCACAAAATAAAAACCCACGGAGTCATGGAAACTGGGTCAATGGAAACTGAGTCCATGGAAGCAGAGTCATCATGAGTCATCGAAGCTGGGTCCATCTGGGAGTATCAACAAATCAAGCTCAAACATCTCAAAACAATGCCCTGAACGAAGAACATGACATTTTGATTCTACAGACCATGCGGAAAACAAAAAACGCCAACAAAGCAACCAGCCAAGTCTCTGGTGCAGCCAAATGCAGCTGCTTCTGGCAGGCAAGAAAAAAACAGAAAACCTTCTGTGGAAGACTTAAATATCCTCAAATGACTCCCAAACTTCCAGATGTGTTTTTTTTTTGTGTTTTTTTTCTACCCTATGTCAATTTTAAGTTACATAGCTATGGCAAATCACCATTTTAAATAAATAGGTAGATTGATGTAAATTGTCTATCGTCCATTCTCCATGTTAAAAATGCCAGAGGTATCATGCGCTTTGTTTTTTATTTTTTACGGATGTTTCAAGCAATGTAATTGACACCATCTTCGAAAAAGAAGCTAGATCAAGATGGTTTTGTCACAAAGTACCCTCTGGTAATTTAACATAGCTATTGAAAATGGCCATTTATAGTGATTTTTCCCATTGAACATGGTGAGTTTCTATAGTTATGTAAACGTTTACCAGAGGGTAGGTTCAAACAATCTCAGACATGGTTGCAGAAACAAACAAATCCTCCCGGCAAGAGATGTCCAGCTTCACATCGAACATAGACTGGCTCAAGACTCAACATTGATACAGTGCTTTCAACCAGCCGCTAACTGGTTGGTGGTTGACCTACCCCTCTGCAAAATATGAAAGTCAGTTAGGATGATTATTCCCAACATATGGAAAATAAAAGCCATGTTCCAAACCACCAAGCAGCTAACAAAATATAACTTTGCGAATTGGGCTACAATCATTCCGTGTGTCCCATGATGGAAAATCAAGATGCCTGGAAAGAATCAGCCATCTGTTCACTCTTTTCTTTTTTGAACTCAAAACTATATGATACTATATGTCTGTTGATAACAGCCACATGTTTCATCATGTTTCTGCATCTGGGAACTCTCAAAATTCTTGACCTTCATGGCGCCTGGCAGCTCTTTTAGTCTCTCCAGTCCCATCTGTGCTCTGTGCCTTCGCCTCCTCCAACAAATTCTGCTTGTCATCCAACGTTGACATGGGGTCGAATGGAGGCTCGGTTCCAGATACTGGGGGAACAATACCTAGCCCAGCCATAGGTTCTATAGATGGGACATTTACCTATAATTTACATTAATTTACATATGTTTGTAGGCATTTCTTGCGAAACATGTTCATACATAGATCAATGCTGATAACTGTATAAATGCTCATGGGGTTGACCAAAAAGGGACACCAAGAACTGCCAACAACTGTGGTGATGTTCCAGTCAGTAAGCCTTTGAGAAACGAGGTTTTATATTTTTTTGATTCCCTCTGGTTATTTAACATAGCCATGGAAAATGGCCCAAGGAAATAGATGGTTTACCTATTAAAAATTGTGATTTTCCATGGCTATGTTAAATAACCAGATGGTAATATTTGATAATTTGTTGATCATATCTGGTTGGTGGTGCAATAACCATCTTGAAAAATATGACTTCGTCAATGGGAAGGATGACATCCCATATATGAAATGGAACATAAGAAATGTTTGAAACCACCAACCAGTTGATCAGGTTTCGGATGGCTTTGGCAGCTTGTAAAGTTTCATGAAAATAATGCAGCTGTCACGGGTCGGCGGGGCGGCGAAATACGGGTCTGTTCCAAAGGTGAGGGACCCCAGAGTCACCATGGTGGAGGGGATGACATGAGATATGACTGCGACCATGCAATGGGGGTGTTTAATCTTCCAGTTGATATTCAAAGTAAAACAATCCAAACTTTGATTCACTTCTTATTGTTTTGCGTTTCACTTCTTATTGTTGCTTAAGACAAATTGAGTCTCGATCGTTGCTGGCCACACACACCCAAAACATGGGTACACGTCGCTAGACATAGGTTTGCCTGAACATGGGGTACCTGGTACCTCACAATTATGGCGATTCAATTAGGGAAACAATGACACACCATGACACACCCATATCAGGCAAAATAGGATATACCCACAAATTATGGCTATTTGATTGGGGAAACTTATGATTAACCCATGGATTTTAGATGATTTTAAGGCTACCTTCTGGAAACGTTTACATCACTATGGAAAATCAACATTTTTCATAGGCAAATTATACATCAATGGGGATTTTCATGGAAAATCAACATGTTTAATGGGAAAATCCACTATTTCTATGGCCATGTTCAATAGCTTTTTGTATGTTTACCGAAGGGTATCCCAACTTTTCAGACAGCTCGCCACCCCTGAGCTGCAGACCATCACGGCGCCTCCAAGGGATGTTGACCCGCAGATGAAGCTAAGACAAAAAATGGCGACCATGGTGAAATAAATCCCCCAAAAATTGGGATACCCTCTGGTAAACATACAAAACACTATTGAAAATGGCCATAGAAATAGTGGATTTACCCAGCTATAAAATGGTGATTGTCCATAGTTATGTTAGTTTACCAGAGGGTATAACCCATTCTTTTTACATGGTTATATAGCCACTTATAACTGGAGCTGCACCAAGAATGGATATGTTGGCGTCCCTATACCAACCCAAATGGCCCAAATGGTGGCAGGTGATCCAGTGACTCTCGAAATGAACCAATTGAAAACATGGTCCTTTGGGTTGCAGGTATGTATGATATAGTCCAACAGTATCTAATAACCATCAACCAGATTTATAAGTGTCATTGTTCACTACATTAGAATCAGATTCTACTGAAATCTATCTTTCGCGGGTTTCTATACAGTCTGAAATTGGAGCTATGAGCTAGGCTACACGTTGGGCACGCACTGACTGGTGCATGGTGTGGATGGCTTATAAAAGTGGGGTTTCGCTGATCAAACATGCTCCGTCCAACCCGGACGCTGCTCCACACTTTCAATCATAAAAATAGTAATCATCATCATGATCATCATCGGCGTCACCATGGTCTCGTCGTCACCATCACCATCACCATCACCATCACCATCACCATCATCATCATCATCACCATCACCATCACCATCACCATCACAATCATCATCATCATCATCGTCATCATCATCATCATCATCATCACCATCACTGTCGTCGTCATTGTCATTGTCATCATCACATTGTCATCATGTTCATCACCGTGTCAACTCATGTGGAACGGGGTATATAATACCATCAGCTTATATGTCTTGTATTCATAAGGGGTCATAAGTCCGCCAACCCCTATGACAAATATGTTAAAGGGGGTAGTCACATCAACTTATCTTCATAAGGGATGATCAAACCCACCACCCGCTCTGACAAATATGTTGAATAAGGAATAACATCAACTTATCTTCATAAGGGATGATCAAACCCACCACCCGCTCTGACAAATATGTTGAATAAGGAATAACATCAACTTATCTTCATAAGGGATGATCAAACCCACCACCCGCTCTGACAAATATGTTGAATAAGGAATAACATCAACTTATCTTCATAAGGGATGATCAAACCCACCACCCGCTCTGACAAATATGTTGAATAAGGAATAACATCAACTTATCTTCATAAGGGATGATCAAACCCACCACCCGCTCTGACAAATATGTTGAATAAGGAATAACATCAACTTATCTTCATAAGGGATGATCAAACCCACCACCCGCTCTGACAAATATGTTGAATAAGGAATAACATCAACTTATCTTCATAAGGAATCAACAATCCACCACCCTCTTTGACAAATATTAGTTGAATCTGAAAATAGCATCAACATATCCTCATAAGGGATCAACAAATCATCCACCCCCGGTGGCAAATATGCTGAATCTGATAATAGCTTCGATGATGATTGTTATTATTATTATGATGATGATGATCATGACAATCATGAAAATCATGATGATGATGATGACGACGATGGATCACATATACATCTACATATAATATAAAGTCCACCGACATTCCAAAAATACGCAACAATACGCAACCCTTCCGCAATTCCGCCGTGGAGCAACGTCAGGGTTGCACCGAACACAGTACAGTAATTTGACTGGGAACCATGCTAGTACTAGGAACCATGCTGTGACTGACCCCCAAAATGGACATGGCAACATGAAACCAGAATTTCCTTTTGGGGTCATTTAAAACATTAGGCGGAAGGAATCGCTGTCAACTCAGTTTCTAGTTGATATCCCCGCTGCAAACAAATCATGTGGACGAAAAAGCAGCATGCTCTCGGAGAGTAGGTCCAGTCGTCTTGGGTGTGACGGTCAGCCAGGTGATCATTGGGACAACATCAGTGCCAACGGTATGAGGAAGTCCTGGCATCCCAACTGTTTTGGCACCTGACACTGACACTGTTTCTTCGGCTTTGAAGTTTTGGCTCCGCTTGAATGAATTCATTGAACAGTTTCCTGTACACAAATCCTCGTCATTTCATGGTAAAAGAAAGTCTTATCTTCCAGATCTTCCAGTTAGCAGTGTTATATGAGTTATTTTAAGAAATTCCGTTATCAAAAAGCACATATATCAATCATAATCCCAATATTTTTTCTGGCTTCAACCGGCCATATTTTTCTGTTTCACCTTGAATCTCAACAAACCACGTCCAAGTCGTCACCGTGACCGCCGTGACCTTCGGGAAGACGGTGAGATCAGCAGTCATGGCTCACTGAGATCGGCAGACTTGGGAGGCTGCTGGATCATTAATGGGCCATTTATGGATATTTTCATGGGAATTCATGGATTATGAACTATCAGTGGGATTAAATTAATGTAGATACTGTAGTCACTGTAGTGGATATAATAATGGGAATTATTGGATTATTAACTATCAACTATCAATGATGAACTATAATTAACTATCAGTCAGATTATAACAATTATATATCCAACCTGGTTATTTAACATAGCCATGCAAGCCATGGCCTATTTATAGATGGTTTACCTTTCAAAAATGGTGATTTTCCATGGCTATGTTAAATAACCAGATGGTAACTATCAATAATCAATTACAATTGGATATCTGGCAGATGGAATCATTGAGAAATATGCACTTTTCCAGATGGAATCACTAAAAAAATCTGGACCTGGTTGGTGAAAAAAAATGGTTGGTGGTTGACCTACCCCTCTGAAAAATGATGGAGTTCAAGTCAGTTGGGATGATGATTCTTCCCAACTGAATGGAAAGTCATAAAATTCCATGGTTCCAAACCACCAACCAGAAAATATAGAATTTTTCCAGATGGAATCGCCAGGACTTTGTTCCTTTTTTTCTCGAGGATTCCCCTTTTTGACATCGCCCAGGAATCGTGGATTCCGCTGAAAACCTCTGGAGATGGTGGAATCTGTCCAGCAATGGATTCTCCATTAGATGCATCGGTTGATCTCCACACACTCTGTAGATAAGTGATTCAAATAAATGGGAATGGGTCAAAACCTTGTACCCCTGTAGTTCACATCAAAATAGCTGGGATTTATGGATGTGAATAACCCCCTAAAAATGGTATTTTCATAGGTATTGATCCATACCCAAATGGTTCAAATAAATGGTTTCAACTTCAAATTCGCACCAACAGCCTCCTGTGATCCGAAACAGCTGAGGGATCATGACGTAAACCCATCATGTGTCTCATGGTGGCTTCGTATAGGCTAGGAGGTATGAGTACCCTCCAGTACAGACATGGTCCCAAAATGTCTTAAAGGTATTGTTCTCTGATACAAACATCATGTACAGCTCGTAGATGTTCCCATAGCTTTCTCAGTTGCCCAGGGGGTATCACCCATCCAATTCCACGTGAAGCAGGTGATTTGGGTCTGAAAAGAGATGGAGCGCATTGTTGAATAGGTACACCGTACTCCTTTACCAGCCAACCACAAGTGGGTTGAGAAGTTAAGAACTTTTATGAAAATCATAAAAAGATAAGATGTCTCTGGTTCTCAAACTGGAAATTGACATCAAATCAATGATCCTCCAACATTTAAACATCCTCAAAAAAATGATTCTTGAGGGAATTCAACGTTCATTCTGTCGCCATTACAGTTCATACTTTGGTACCTCAATCTTGATGGATAGCCTTTATGGGGACAAAACCTCGAAGCCACGCTTCATGACCTTAAATCTTGCATTTTTGACCCAGGCCCAAGTATATACTATATGATATTAAATGTATATCGTTATCCATAGATGTAGATTTTATACATTGACATACTCACATCAACTTCAACCTGCTGCACCTTCAGTCAGTCTCATGTCTCAGCAATATTTCGGTTGCCCGCAGCGCGCTGCGCGAGTCTGGGCCATTCTGCAGGAAACCAGGCGAGAAGGCTGTTGCTGTAGATGGATCAATCAAGATTGGTTGATGGATTAGTACAGAATTAAGATTCATATTCTGAAACGACATTAACAGTCATCAACTAAGACTGGCTCGTTGCTTAGTATCCCCAGCTGCTTAGGATATCCACTTGCTTTGCTCTTTGGTCAACGTCCCCATATGGGACCAACCCCAGCTTGGCAGCCAGAACAGTTGTAGTAGGTCTGCCATGGTCTCGGTGGCGAAAACAGTTTTCGCCACCAACATCCATAGATCTCCCAGAAAAATTCCACTTTGGTTGCTTGACCTTTCATTGATACGGAAATTCTTGATTAAGTTGATAATTAACCACTTACTGTAGATAAATTATAAGTTGAACAATCGATGGTTAGTTGATACTTGTTGTTTTAACTTACAAACCACCGTTCATCTTTTTTGGCTTGACAAATTTCATTGCGCTACCGCAGCTTCCCGGCATCACTCGAGGCATTCAATGTCCGAGTCGTCACCCACCTGCAAGGCGTCGTTCCGTTCGGAACAGAACGGCCGTTGTGGTCACGACTCATCACAGCAAGGGGCCACAAATCCTAGGGAAATTGGTTTGTAACTAGGCGAGCACATGGATTTATAGTTGATATGTGTTGATATAAATGATATAAATAAATGATAGGAGGCCTTTCCTGAAGGATACTGGCGGGATCTTCAACAAAATCAGACATGTACCGCCAACGGTGGAAAAAAACATGTCATATGATGGGCCATGACGAATACCTCGTTGGTGGTTTCCGACCTAAAGAAATATGAAAACCAATTGGGATATCATCCGACGCTTTTATGGAACATATAACATATTTGAAACCTGGGAGGATCCAATACTCATTCATCCATAAATAAAACTGATGATTTACAACTGTATTAGAAGTAAAGCCTCCTATATCCCAAAGGCCCCAAGAATTTAACTGCATAACTGCGTACGTTTGAAACAATCAGACCTCAAGTACTCAAGTTTAAACATGTTTCAACAAACTACCGAGCAGTGAATTCTTGGTGTCTCCTTCCAGTTTGTTTTTGTCCCGTCTATAGCGGTGGATCGCAATGCCAAAACCACCTTCCACTTCCATATGATCAACTCCACTTCCTATGCTGGCATGTACTGGCATCTTGCCCTGTCATCCGAAGTCAGCACCAAGGGAATCCATGCACACTCTCTAATAGCAACTGGTTACGGTTATATACAAAAGAGGACCACCCTGCAGGTCTAGCACATCCTCTCCCCCATCTCAACCTTACAGTGATAGACCCAAATGGGTGCCAACACATATTCAGGCCCAGGAAACCCATTTGCCTTGAACACTGAATCTTTGAAATCTACTTATAGACTTGCAGTAAGTTGACACAGTTTCATTTCTATATTGGGAGGTTCCAAATTGCTTTTTCAGAGGGGTAGTAGGTGATACGGCAGGGGTCTTTGTCTGTGCGTCTTTATGGGCACATAATTCCATGGCGTGTTTTTAAGGCTGGTGAACCCCGTTGTAAAGCCACAGACGGTAAACTGGTATACTGCGGGATAGGTGATGATGTATTCTAGTAAAGCATTTAGGAAAACGATATTTGCGCACCATTAAACCAAGTTTTTAGCTTTACATTGATGTATGTTTCATATGGAGGTTTCCTAAAATAGGGGTACCCCCAGATATCATCCATTTGATTTTCGGACCACGAAACCAACCATGCAGCGTTCTATTGGGGTACCCCCCCATTGTAGGAAACTCCCTTATTATAGTTACCCTCTGGTAAACAAACATAGCTATTGAAACTAGCCATTTATAGTGGATTTACCCATTAAAAATGGTGATTTTCCATATATATACCTAGAACCGGTTTGGTCTACCAAAATAGGTCAGACCCGAGTTTGAAAAAAAGTACGGGTCTTCCGTAAAAACAGCTACCCTTTGAATTTTACAATTTTTGATGATTCTTGGATATCAATGGATAAAGGATAATCTCAACATGATATTGATCAATTTCACATTGGCCAATGCGAGTTTTGCCAAGTATCCCACATATTCCGTCTTTTTGAATGAATAATAGCTTGACCAATTAAAAACCAAATATGTATTGAGGATTCTTGGGTTACCCACCAACATCCACCAACCAACCGACCAGCTGCAGATCCGGTTTTGGCCTTGCCTGCTCCACCCCTCCAGGCTCTGGCAACAGCACTGCACAGCAACCCTTAAGCCTAGAGTATAAGTCGAGTTAACATACCTTAAAACTTTAGATATCAAGACTGGAAGCAGGGGTAAAATGTGGGGATCACTCCTAGTCAGTCACCTTGAGGCCAGGGCTGTCTGTGCAGCTTTTGGGAATGTGAATTTAAGAACTCAACCGCCCCCAAGTGAAAACAAACCTCGCTGATCTATGTCAGCTCGTTTCAAACAAGCCATGGTCGATATCAATGACCTTTGGCAAACGCGAAGATGGATCTGTTTGGGACACACCCTCCGGCTCAACCTTGACGGCCGACCAATCCAATCTTCTTGCATCTGAACACTTTCTCCAAGGGGATTAACAGCCCAAGTAGTTGAATCCTCTTCCGCTTTTTCAGCTTCTCGTAGTAGTCTGATGGCCCCATGGTGTAGCATGTGAATTTTCGGAACCAGTGCAAACCTATTCAATCCCCTCCTGTAGACCAACGCTGTTGCAAGGGAATATTTTTGCAAAAACAGCAGCCAAAGCTTCGCAATCTTCTGGGCCCTGGGCCAGCGAATAAAAAAGTCTTCATAGAACATGGCAGAAATGGCAGTGTTCATCGCTGAAGTTCCAGTGGCCTATGGATGATCAGAACCTCATACCCCAAAAAACTTATATACACATTTTGCTGGTTCCCAAAATGGATTGATTGCACACATCAGAACATCAAAAACCATTGGGGTACCAGGAAAAGAAATAGGGAAACCAATGCCAAAGCCATACAAAATCATTCGAGTATCAATTGCCTCAAGCAAAGGCTCCCCCCGGATCTCATTGGACCAAGTCTTGCAGAGATATTCCAGGAATAGCATGTAATGAGTACTGGCACTCCCTTTGTTCCATGTACCAACTGGGCATGTGCTAGATTGATACCAGCCCAAAGTCTCCCGACCAAGTTCCTCACAATGTGGACTGATCCGTTTCGATTTATAAAAATTTCGGTATTCCTGTCCCAGCCACTCCACTTTCTCATCCATTGAACCATATGGTAGAGGTAAATGTTCCAGCAAAGATACTAGGGAGCTTGCAACCCAATGTTTCGCCAAACCCAAATGAAAATTGTGCCACACATCTGTTTTGAAGAATGTGTAGTGGTCACATTCATCAAGAGGTACCCCCTGCAAAAGCGGTGGCGTTTCTTCCCAAGACTGTTGTTGTCCAAGGGTACCCTCCCAAATCGGCTTCCCACTTGTGTCTTCGTAAGGGACTGGGTTCAGGCCTCTGGCAGCATTCTGCTCCTGCCCTGCACAGCACATCCAACAGACACCTTCACAGGGTTTCCTGGAATGGGCAGCTTTTGGGACATTCCCAAAAGTGTGCAGCATGTTACCCATTTTGGCCAATGCTGGAAGGTCACCTTTAGTACCGATGTGGCAGCAACGAACGTGAACTGTTCCAGCAGCATTCCACACACCATTGATCAAAAGGTCTTCCATGTCTCGTGCATAAACTGAAATGAGGTCATCCAATACTTGGGGCTTCTTCTTGAAGAACTTGCGCAGCATGCAGGAAAACATAAAATTAGTTGACCATGTGTGGCCACAGAAGTTCAGACCAAAGCCATTTCTTTTCAGAGGCAACTTGTCTTTTCCCCTCTTGAGGAAACCTCTCGTTCCCCTCCCCAAAGCTCCATGAGTGCTCAGCAGCCAAAGTGCGGCCTTTTTGTATGACCTGCCTTCGTCAGTATGGCTGTAAACAGGAATGACATATCGTAGGTCCACTTCCCCAGACTCCTTCATCTGAAAAATCTTGTGGGTAGGCTGAATTGCTTCATAGCGTTTCCAGAACTCCTCTAGCTTTACCTCCATACTCTGTAAGCTGTCACAGGCACACAGTTGTCGAGGTAAACGGTCTGTGTCCAAAAGGTATTTCACCCATGTCGAGAATTTCATGTATGGAAAGCGTTTGTACCTTTTGGCTTCACCCAAGTCGACCCTATCAATTTGAATGGGACAAGTGAGGCCATGCTTCTCCAATACTTGGTGGGCTCTTACTTCAGCATCTCGAGGTCTAATGGCACCAAACTCTTTCAAAGCCTCAGAGGCTCTGGGGTTCTCAGCTACATCCGCAGCTGCTGCAGCAACCACATAGGACATCGGTTCCTCAGCCGCGGTCGGGAAATCTGATAGAGTTCATGATGGGATGATGGGACATCCCAGGGGTTTGGGAAAATGAAGCTCCAAACTTTGGGATTCAACATGCCAAAGAATGATGAACGCACAACTGCCAGTTCAAAAACACTTTTCTCAAGCTTTGCAACCCGGCATGTCTGGCTGGCTGACACATCAACCAACCCTTCTTGGTTGATCAGCCCTGCCCCCCGTTACATACAAAAAAAATGGTGGTGTTGGGTTTGCCCTGTTGAGAGCACCCTCACCGCCACTGCCACGCTGGTTCCTGCAACCAACATGCATGTTAAAGTGTGAAACACAAGCTGCCTCCAACATGTGGATGAGATCTACACTGGAAGACTTTGTGATGACCCACATCATTGTAAACCCCTGCTTTCGGTACATCACATAGCGCGTCAGCGGGTTCGAAGTTACACCCACCTTAAAGACACACAGTTTCACTCCAACGCTTTCTCTAAATGCCGTGATTTTGGACACAGCATGCTCTAAATTTTTTCCACAAGTTGGCAACGGTCCCGCACGGGGAAGAACACAGTGATTGACAAGATTGTATTTCCTAACGCACTGCCAATCAAACTTCTCACCATCGAACCCTTCTGCCAGTGTAGTCAGGGCAGAAGCCACGGAAGGACCCAGATCCTTAGTCCATGCAGTGGTCAATAAATATTCACCACTATATATATCGTATGGGTTGGATGCACATGCATGCACATATTGATACAAACTGCATGCACGCAGGTATATATTATACAAATGATATTTCTAATACATGCATGCATGCAACTACCATACACACTTGTGAACGCTGATTCGCATCGATGATGCCATGGCGCTGCATGGCATTCACCATGGCTGGCTTGAAGATGATGGGAAGGTGTGGGCACTACAGAGGAACTGTCCCTGGTGAAGTAGTCCATGTCTGGGTCATGCCAATCATCAGCAACATTTTGTTCATCAGGTTCTGTCTTCCTAAGTCAAAATGATTTCTCATAACTCATCACCCATCCCGAAATGCATTTTTGCACTTGGCACTTTAGTTGCTGCCAAGTAGCTTTGAAAATTTGGAACATGGCACCGCAAAAACTACACCAGCTGCACGCTTGCCACTGAAATGAAGTAATTCATCCAGCCAGTCATCCATGGCAAAGACCAGCTACCGAGTAAATTGTAGAAATTTGAGGAGACATTTTGATTCTATTTCTTTCATGTTGCCCATGCCGGAATGGAACCCTTAACGGCGCCTCCATGCATGCACCTTTTTTTCCATTGAACATGGTGATGAATCTTGGGATTTGTTTCCCATTATAGTTGGTGGTTTTTTCCAATATTTTTTGCATACACCCCATGTTGTTGAGTTACATGTTTTTTGAACCCACAGCTGTGGAACGGCCGCAACCCCTGTGATCATTCCACAGCACTTCACCCAAGCTGGACAGGAAGTTGGCTGGGAGCCGGACACCACGCGCTGCAAAGCCAGCCAGATGTTCAAGGAGACGCCCGGGCGGCGCATTTTGGCGAACACCTGGCATGTTGAGCAATTTGGGGTCCCACTTGGAACCTTCACCCCTGAGGTTTGGGTTAAGAAATCTAAGATGTATTTCTAAATTGTAAATGTTTCATGGTTTTAATGCAAGAACAATGAAAACACCTGGGAAACACATATACTTTTGGTGGTCCAAACAAATTCTGGTATACACACCAAAACAAGGCTGAATAGGCCTGCATTTTTCCGATTCTCGCTGCTTATTTGACATGTGCTGGTATCGATCCATGTTGGACCTACCAAAGGTAGCGGCACGTGCAAAGCACATGATTGCAAACTCCCCAAGCTCAGTCAAAGGGCATGGCCCGAAAAAAATCAAGCCACCAAAACTTCTAGATACACCTAAGATTTGGAGTCATGACTGACCCACCACATTGATTGGATTGCACACCAACGGTACCCCACGCTGAAAGGCAACCCATCTTGTTTCCAAGCCCTTTCAGGACCGGTCATTTGTTCACCATTTTCAGAAGGTTCCTCGGATGATGGAATTAGAAGGTCTTAGGGGCTGGGATCTGGTACTGGCTTGCAGGAGGGAAATAACAAGCATTGCTTGCAAATTCATGTTGTTTTTTTCATAAATAACATGTTGGGAATGCAAGAACCTTGAATTTGGTTTCATGAATTTAATGAGGAAATTGATGCAGAGGATCTTTGCATTGGTCTCAGTAGCGGTGACCTTTGCGCAAGCCTTCTGGGTGGACTTCAGCTGCGACTCCACTTTGGCAACCAACCTCAAATCAGACCAAACAATCTAATTATATACCAAAAGGATAATTTTCAAGGGTAACGATTTGAAGTTATACAACCACATCGTATTTATATGGGGGCATGTCACACGAACATTTCATATCCTGAGGGCCTCCCCAGTAGTAAATTGTAAGATTCATTGGTAAAGGTTTCTGACACATGGTAAAACAGGGGATGATCCCAACAGAAATATTGTAGACTGGCAACGGCTTGGCAGTAGATTCATCCAGCTTGCCATTCTTGAGACCTTCTACCTCCGCCAAGGTTTCTGTGACAAGCTCAAACTGGTCCTGCAGTATCTGGACAGCAGCATCGATGGTTCCCTGCAACCTAAGCAGCGGGTGGGAAGGCAAATTGGGATAACAACATATTTTTAATCCACAAGCTAGATATCATTTAAAACAATTTGCGAATCTTTGAGCTTGCCAAGGCTAAGTTAAAGACTTTGACACCCGATCGCGATGGGGGCTAGCTTCATCATTCTTCATGGCTTCATCCAACTGGCCCGAGATGTCATTCAACTTATTGGCCCGGGTCAGCAACGAATCCCCAAACTTCTTCAACATCTGGAACTCCTGGAGAGAAGGGCTGACATAAATTTAAGTTCCTTATAATCGAACCCATACAGTTGACGACTGACTAGAAGACATATTGGACCATTGTATGATTATGTTTTGGCATCCATATTTTTTTATATTAGATATATTAAAGATGCATGCGTGCGCATGTTTTATATACTCTTGTTGAAACAATACTGGATTTTATGTGACTATATGTTTGAAAGCTCGCTCCTGAGCACCCGTTGCTTTCTCTGCATTCCTCGGGGAATCTGAGTCAGACTCCGCTGCACCAGCCGCTGGAACCAAGGGCCCTCTCTTGGTGTCGAGCTTGCTGAACTTCACCTTTCCATTGGTAGCCTGCGCGAGGATCCCCAGAACCCAGGCAGCTGATGGGGTTGACGATTGTTTGGAGAAAAGTGCTGAGGATTTTAATGGTAGCAAACACTCATAGACATTCATAGAATTCATTCAGTTTGATTGCAAAAAGTGTGGCTGACAACCACATGCATGCACATGCATCCATGGCACATATGATCCATGTGCCATGTTTTATAGGAAGAGTTCAACAAAATAATTTGTATTTTTTCCTGCCTTAGAAGAAGTCTTGACTTCCCGCTCCAGGTCCTCATCCGCGTCGGAGTCGTCTGTGTCAACTTCAACGTGGTACTTCATGATGTTGCGGTTGTATTTGTCCTTCCTAAGTAAAAGAAGTTGGCATCGCAGTCAGATCAAAAAAAATAAACCTAACCTACCACTAAATTTAGATGAAATAGACAATATTTTTTTTTAAGATCCTAGTGGTTTATTTTTTTTTTGATCTGGAAAAAAATGTTTCTAATCCTCCACTCCTTTCTTATGGTGGGTTTTCAGGAACACAGCATGCAACTTTTTTCAAGTTTCTTGATCAAGCTCTCGTTGCCCTTCTTCTCGCAGAATTTGACCACATCATTGATGTAAGACCTTGGTTGAAAGGCTTGGTACTTGGGACTTTTCAAACCGACACCGCGCCAGCACACACACACACACCTGTACCTGTATGAACCGTTTTTTGATAGAGACTTATATAGATCAATAAAAGTATAGGCGAAGAAAGACCAATGCACGCATGCATGAGTACATAACAGGCACTTGCATGATTGCAACAAAGGTTGATTGTGGAAAGCGCATGCGACTAGATTTCACACACAACATGCATGTTGAAGCCACAGGGCTTCGACCAACCCAGTTTGTTCTTCATCTTATCCTTGCTATACCATCCTCTCCTCTTGTGCTTGGTGGTCCTGGTGACCTTCTCCTTTTGCCGGATGACATGGCTCACAAAAGTCTCCTGGCCCAAAGGCAAAAGATAATACCGATAATACCACAACCAGGGTTTTTGTATGGACTATTCCGGCATATGTGTATAAAAAATGATATGTCTATGTTACTTTGTTTCTATTGTATCTAAATAGTTGCAGTACATGCACATGCAAACACAGATTGGCAGTTTCAACAGGAATTCATGGTGCAGCCCCATGTAATGTTGTTAATTCATCTCAACCCACTCCTTCTCCCAGTTGCACGCTTCCAACTGGTCACGAAGTCTTTGACGTTCCACACCCCCCTTCACCCACTGCTCATGAATGTCATCCGGCACATGGCAACGGCCACTAGGTTTCTTCTCACACAAACGTCTTAACCTATTGTTCTTTGCGGCTTCACTTGGTTCCCCATCCCCTTCCGAGACATCTTCAGAAGCCTCTGCTGCCTGAGGTTCCTCATCATCGTCCTCCTCATCGCTTTGGGCAACACCAGCTTGGCGAGGAGGCTGCTTGACAGTCGATGCCGGGGATGGAGCTGGGACCCTGCGGGTCGGCGGGGTGGCAAGAGAAGTGTTGTCCTTCTGCCCCTGGATCTCCTTCAACAGCGCTTCCAAGCGGACATTCTCCTGTGCAAATTAGGGATAGATTTGTTTGATCTATATTTCACTTGAGGGGTTGGTAAAAATATGGAAAAGCAGTGGGCTGATCAAATGGAAGCCCAGAACATCCACCCAAAATAATGTTGATCCATAGCGATACAACAGATAAAATATATAATTTGCAATGTAGGGGAATTGAAGAACAACCTTTTGTCAATGCCAAGGTTTCTTGAAGAATTCAATTCAAATATTTGTTGGGATTTGACCCATGTCATTTTGTGAAGAATTCCTTGACAATGCTTTGGAAAACCTACAAAACATGAAGGGAAGCTTTCCCCACAATTGAAAACTTGGAAGATTGTGTTCAACAAAAACCGACATTCTTGGGGTACCCCTTGGAGTTATTGGTTCAATGGAACATGCTGACATGGAGATGCATTGACAAACATAAGATCTATAGTCTTGGGCTTTCGGCACACCTTGTGATCCATATCAAGCAACCAACATCCCAAATTTTGTAGAGTTTACTGGCGACATGGACCATATATGAGCGAACTCATTTATAATAATGTCCAATCACACATCCAAAATGTGATTCAAGAGAAATATCAAATATTCAGATTAATTGGTTTTATATGCAGTACCCCAGCAACAACACCATCCAGCCTCCATCAACTTCTTAATACGTGCCACCTCTGAAGGTGACGTGGACGTTGACGGGGCATCCGCATTCTTGCCACGGAGGCGCTTCTGTGGCTGGGTAGGGGCAGGCGGCTCTGCTGGAGCACGAGGGGATCTCTTAGGCATATTCCCTGAAGACTGAGACTTTTCAGATGTTTTTTCACCACCAGAACCCCCAGAAGAAGACTTGGGGGCAGTTTTTGCCTTAGCCTTCGATTTGGCCGAGGGGCGAGGCACATTTGCCTTCGCAACTGCTAGCTCTTCTTCAGTTGCCTTACATGCTGCAAGCACCCAATGACATTCCATTTTACTTCACATTTTCAAACATGAACATTCATAGTATTCCGAACTTGATGACATTCCAGCGTTCACATATCGAAAAGTTTCAAAAGTTTCATAGAATTTCAGCTTGATTTTGATGGATGTAGTCTTGACATCACCATCCAAACTATTTCAAATCAAATGAATCTAAGGTGCTGGTAAGGTATCCTCAGTAGGAGCGGCCTGAACAGGAATAACAAGGGGTGCCAAAGCAATCATGTTGAGACATGGAGGCACTGCAATAAACCCTTTGTATTTAAGAGGCCGCCTGGGCATCCTTCTGTTTCTTCAGCTCTGCGATCTGTTCTTCATACTCCTAAAGGGGCTAATCAATGGACCCATGACCGCAACACAATCAACACATCACCTACACTACTAGAAATATATCTAAACCCCAATAATTCAAACATGAAGTAGAACAGTTGGTCCCACCAAGAAAAACCCTTGTCGATCCTTGATTTTGGCTGCAAACTCATCAGGATCCTGATGTTCAGCCTTGACCTTCAACAAAGTCTTGTTACCGTTCTGAAGCTCTGAGCAGCTATGCTTCCTAGATGGAAGACTACGCAAGCTATCCACCTTCGTCCTCGCCATTGCAGGCCAATGCCAAGTGACACACCTACTGCCAGCACCCTGATCTGAAAGGGCTGTGGTGGAAATCTAGGTTATTTCCCCCAAGAAGCATTTCAAGTTAGAAGCGACATCCCATCAGAACCCAACTTGAAACAAAGTTTGGATATGTTTGGATGAATTCATCTGTATTGGATATGAATGGTCATTTGGCTCAATGAAATGTTGATTTTTTGGAAATGTCAATGTACGGGAAAAGTACGTAAAAAAAGCGGGTTTTCATACGGAAAAATACGGCCTTTTACGCAAAAGTACGCCCCTTATACGGGTGTACGGTTTCATACGTACTAGATACGTACTCCATACGTACTTTCAAAATCATCATAAAAAATCATTATTGTTAACATATTTTCTTAAATTAGATAGTTCTAAAGTTTGGGAGTACAAATTTCCTTTTCACATCTCTTGGGGAAATGGTCTCACAACCTTATTACATGTGGGCCCCACACTCTCCAGGGAAAGGTTGCCATCAGATCCTTTTTTGGCCTGGAGTGGCTGTGAGAGGTTATCCCTATCCAGGATTTACATCTAGAGAAGTCCTTTGAATTTCGAATTAGGTTCTCTCATGTTATTAGGACAACATGGCTCACTTCGCGAGCATGATATAGATCACAAATGGTCAGGGAAAGATGAACGCCACTGTGCGGGAACAATTTCACCATACGTAGGCCAAAGTGTGGAGGGTATGTCCTGGGCAGCAAACCCGGGTGATTGAACCAATTAGGATTTGGCCCATAAATTCCTGGTATCTGTAAAGATCGGCCTGATGCTTTATATAACAATTTCCTATATATTATATCTTTAGTAAAGGGGCAGCGATTTCTCAGGATTCCGGAAGAGAACTCATGTCAAATAAAAACGAACAGAAACATATGTGGGCATGTTTAAGTCCCTTTCTTGCAACTCCAAAATATTTCCCAACTGTGTTTGATCAACTTGGTCCCTCACCCTGTGCCACGAAGCTTGGAAGTCCCGGTGTAGGACTTTTTTCCAGACCTATTCACCTTGACCTTGGCACTCTTTACCCCGGTTTTGCGGATCTCCTTTCGTTGTTCAGCTGTCATGGGCCCCTTGTCCAGACCTCCAATTTTCCGGCAATTGGCCCAGCAAATGTGCCTCTTCGGGGTGCATGACATGTAGTGGCCCATCCACCACCGGCATACAAAGACCTGGCACAGCAGAAGGTTATATAAAATTGTTCTTGAAAGTTTGAACCCCCAACAGGAAACCAAGAGCGGTGAGTATTGCATACTCCATGGGGCTCCCTAGAGCTACTGCAGATTTTGATATAAATCGACCTATATAAGATATATAAGTTATATTTTTCAATTTGTATACATACCAAAAAAGCTCTGATGGGGGCTATATCTTTGACTTTCTATAACCCTTGAAAGCATCAAGAATGATTTGGGCTAGCCTCATGGAAATATGAAATCAACGAAGTGTTCAGCTCATGCCAGTTCCAACCCTACCCAACACACAGAAGGGAATGGCAATGACTTCTATATTCGTTGTTTCTTGTAAAACCAAATTTGAAATACATTACATTAAGCATTCGATTCATCTTGCCTGGGAAATGTCAACCTGGCCTTGGGGAAATTCCTCAAGATTTCTCGTAGCCTAGGATGATACCAAGCCAAGCTAGAGATTGGCTGTTCCACCATCCACGCCGCACCAATTGCTTCCAAGGCGACCAGCAGGAGCGTTACCCTGAGGAGCAGGACAGTGCTGGGGCAATGGTAGCTTGGAGAAGGGGATGAAAAGAACCTTTTAGCTTCAATATTCATTGAAGCATTTTTGGGAAACTACCCCATATATAATCCCAAACAATATTTGGAATATTTCGGATCATCCATGCAATCCTAATTTTCGATGTGCCTACCACTCACCACAAACAGGGCCACCTTCCTATTTTCGGATCTCTCTTCCATGTGGAATGTATAAGTTTGATTTGGTACTTGGGTTTATCCTCATCCCAAACACATCATAGTTCAGGGGTGGGTAGAACAATCCCGCTGTAATTTTAGATAAGGTTCCGAGCTGCAAGTAAATTTCCCAACTGAACATGGGGCATGTCTTCTCGTCCTAGAGGAGTGAGCAAGGTGCGACCATGGGTTGCGGCATTAATGGCCACAAAAGAAGAGCATAGCAGTCCGATAACGCATAGGCACTGGTCGAACTTCATGTTCAGAACTGCACATAGTGCAAGACTCAGTTTGCATGTAATCAACCAAACATGGAATGACTATTGCCAGCTCTGGTGTGGTATATATAGATAGACCCTATTGTATTGGAAAAATAAGGGATAGCATGGCATCCCCCAAAATACCAGCTACTTGATGCATATCCAGGTTGATCAACATTAATTCTTCAAAACTGCACACAGCCACCATGGGGGGTAACCAGGGAACCAAGAGCGATAGGGTGAGAAGGTGCGAGCGAAAAAAAGTGGTCTCAACACCCCAAACCACGCCCAAAAACTAACATAAATTTAGGCACCACCCCATCTAGCTACTAAGTTTATAATGTTTTGATTTTGGCATTTGATCGAACAAAAGAACGATGATTATTTAAAGCCAGGCTACAGAAACCCACTGGAACTTGTCAGATCCATGTTGTTTTCCTTGTTGGGCTCTGGCTGGCCATACAGTATGTCCAGTTTAGCAACAGCACGACCTGATGCCGACATAGCATCTGCAACCCATCCTCGGCCTGCAAAAAGCTCCACATAGTCGAAGGACTGCGACGCAGCAGAGCATATTTCACACAGGTTGGTGACAGCTTTGCGCTATGCATTTTGAAGATCAGGGCACACCCCAAAGGTGTAAGAAGTGGCTTGTAAGCTTATAACAACAGGAATGAAGAATATACCAAAGGATTCCCAACTGTTTTTTGTTGTGGGATTGTAGCCAATCTCGTGGTGTCGCTTGGATCGTAGAAGCTTGGATAGGTAATTTTTTCACGCAACAGAAAGCTCATGAGCGTCATGGACTTGATTGAACACTTTTTCACAATAATGATATGTGGCATGACATGATATGTGACATGCAAAAATGAACTGTACCTGAATAACGGTGCGAATTGCTAAAAATCACTGAAGGGGTTTGACCAATTGTTGGGAACTATTTTGTTGCTCCAAAAGCTACCCATCCAACAGTGGACATTTGCTTGTTTTATAGCATTCCCCCAATATGCTCATACGATAAGACATTCCGACATGGATACTTCATGAAAGAACAATCAGAAAGGGATACTAACTGCCTACCCCAACCATTCAAAGTATATGTCAAATATTTACATGTATAATTATAATTACTATATTGTTTTTTCAAATCTCCCGCTACCCCAATCAAGCCTCAGTGAAAATCTCCACATTGCCGGAGAGGCTTAGCAAGACCACAGATGCGAGTAGCACCTGCAGGCTTTGATGGATTAGACCCGGTGGGAGCCAGTAGTTCACTTGGAATATTGAAAGGGTAGTTTTGACAAATGGAAGGTGGTTGCATATGCTCTATGATTACAAATATCACGAAATATAGTAATTAATCATTTCATAATTGTTGATATATAATGAAACCTAATTTGTTTTCCATGGGCCTCTCTCTCCTATTTTGTTGGTTCATCCATCAATACCCACAAGCCTACACAACTGGTATTGACCAATCCACCCCTTCAAGATCATATATAATCCTATAAAAACATAATGCCATGCACATACAATGAACCAAACCATGCAGCTAGCACTTTTTAAAGATCAACTCAGAGACAAGAACTGACCCTCATGCACCTTGGGTGCCCCAAGTAGATGCATCCTCTTTAGAACTGTTCCCAGTCTGCAGGACTTGTCGGCCATGGTTGGCAGGGGCGCACCACAAGGCTTTCCCAGGTTCGAAACTTAGCCACTTGATCCAAAGAGAGCCCAGGAGTAGGGTATTTAACCCACCAATGACCATGGACACCGAGACAAGAATTGAAATGGCAAAGCCAACACCAGTTTTTTCAGAATGAACAAAACATATTTCTGCACTCAGTCTCCAACTGCCCTTGAAAAAATGAACCCGTCAAACATGGATGGGGTACGTTTTGAAGCTTGTTCTGCGTATTCATTGGGCAGCAGCCTCCGTTTCCAGCCCGATCCACGAACCATGCCTTTGATGCCACAAGGCGTGTGGCCTCAGCATTGCGTTGGTGGAAGGACTGTTTGGAGCCCCATGGAGTCCGAAGTTGTGATTGGGCCAGGGAGAAAGGTGGTCAGTCATTAAGGGTTCAAGAATTCAACTAGTTTGGGGGGTGTAAAAACCATCTCTGCCAGGTCTACCCCTGAAGATTTGTGATATGAGGTGACCAGAATCAACCATGTATTCCAATCCACACCACCAAGAAACCACTGGACATTTTTGAGGCAACCGTTTCACGCCGCTGCATGTGAGATGGCACTGTGACATCTAATGTCCTTAGTGTGCCAACATTGCATTGCATGCCCCACCATCCCAATGCCCAAACTTGTCAACAAGTTTACTCTGAAATAATTTAAAAATTGTTTTGGACTCTTCAGCCACTAAAGTTTGAATAGGGCATTGGCTGAGATGGCCCCCTTAAGCAACGCAGTTGCAGCACAAAACATTTCGAGTCAAACCTAAGCCGTTCCTTAATTTAAGAATTATGCTGGCCAACGGAAACCTTCACACACATCCAATCAAATCTTCTAAGAGGCAGTGGCCGGCCATCTTGTAAAGCCAGCCAAATTTCAAACAGTGAAGCAAACATGGTCTCGCTAAAAGGGTCAATCCTTCCACCCCATGCACACACTTTGAATGGAACTTTGTGCCCGCGATGCCACACTTTCAAAATTTAATGGGGATATACTGTAAACATAAACTTACATGCATGCGAGAAAAAGGAATGAAAACCACCATGATTGTTTTTTGATTTGGGTGTGTATCTGAACTTAGGAAATAGAATTTACATTTTCAAGACCAAACATTTTGGCATGTGTGGGCACATGCATCCATGGGTGAATGTATATACCCTTAGCTGACCCCGATCGAATCTTCAGCACTCACGAGCGCTCAGGCGTCACAACAAAGCTCTCCTGAATCGATTGGAGGTACTCTTTGGCGGCGAGGTGTGCCTCGGCTTCGAGATTGCTCTCATCGATGGTCTTTGTTTTCCACGATTTCATGCAGAAAGTCCAGAAGTAGTCCTGCAGGCATTGGATAAGTAATCCAAACAGGCTCATTTGATTAAGTAAGGCATGGGATAAATTGCAAGGATTCTAAATTCCGAATCGCAGGTTTCACCTTTCAAGTTTGCCCCACATTCCTCAATCAATAGGACCCCAACCACATTAAATACCCCAAATCCATTTTTTGGTCTTTGACCGATTGAACTATATTTGAAAGTTCTGGAGGCCTCAGGTTTTCAAAACTCATGCCAACAGCCGGTTGCTTAAGTCAAGGCCAAAACCAGAACTTGACGAAAATACACTATTTACGTTTCCTTTGTTTCAAAAATGTGCCAGATATTGGCAGATAACATTTGCTTTGGTACATGGGCGATGTATGGGCAGGGGCTTGTCCTAGCTTACTTACCCCTGTCAAAAATTTGAAGCACTGATAAATCTATCGTTCTTGAACTTGAGAACTCAAACTGCAATAGCAAGAGTTCAAGAACTCGAGAACTTGAGCTGCAACATGAATGTGGAACAGTCCTCGTGGGCACTGTAGATTTCAAGGAATGGCTTCACACCCTTCTCAAAAGCTTCGCAGAGGGCCTCCCACCTCAATTTGGAAAATCCTGCAGCAGGCCTGCGACGCTTTGCAAAGCACTTCACCTTGACAACCTCAGCCCCACCCGCTCCATCCTCCTTCTCGGCATTGCCCTCTGGTATCTTGTTCTCCTCCTTGCCCTTGCCACGTTTGCGCTTTGGAGCAGGCGCGGCTTGATGTGGTCCATCACCGGCTTCATCCAAGGCGGCTTTGGCCTTTTTGCCCCTACCCCTGGCTTCCTGCTTGGGCTCAGGCTTTTTTTTGGCTGCTGCCTTAGCCTTCCCTTTCGGCCGACCCTTGGCTTTTGCCTTCGCCTTGCCCCTGGCTACCCGAGCTGGCTTCTGCCCATCTTCGGTTTCTCCCCCATCAGCTGAAGCTTGCTTCAGCCCAAACTGCATTCGACGCAAAACCTCGGGAAAAAATCAAATGGTGCTTTTGGGGTGTATAGGCTATATAGTTGAGGATTGTAAAGAACCTTTACAGGATCTAAAAAAACGGCCAAAAATATCTCCAGGGTGATAGAACACTATAACACAAAAACAATAGACAAATAATTGAAACATCAGAGTTACATCCGTACTTCCACTTTCCATGTTGGGTTCTTCGTGGATCTCTGCATTGAATCGGTCAGCCATCGACTGAAGGTCAGCCTCAGGCATGTTCAAAGTATCCATGTTATCGGATCCAAATGGGAGACTGTCGTTGATCACAATGGGCTCTGTGATCTTCAGGGATTTGAGCGCAATCCTCAAGTTCATCAAATTCAATAGGACATAAAGGGAATTTATTTACATGTCTAATACCTATGGATGCATGATAAGGGATAAATTTGATGTTGGGACCCATTTTGTACGTGGGTGCGTGTTTGAAACATTGACATCTTGCATGGCTAGTAGGATAGTACATTTTGCTGCAAACTTTGAGCTCCAGTTAACAAACACATCTTATGCTCTTGAGATTCATTTCATTAAGATATGGATATCAAAGATAAGAAAATATATATATCCAAGTTAAGTTTAACCCCAGTATCTTGGCTGTTTGGCGACGGCGCAATTCCTGCAATTCCGCTTCCAGCCGTGCGCATTTGGCTGCCGGGTCCTCATCTGATTCCTCCTTATCCATTGAGGCAAGCTCTGAAGATGCTTCCACACTGGCACTGGCGGAAGAGAGGCGCCCAGCATGCTTCCCACATTTCCCATCCACCCGAGGGTCAAGGGTCTGGTGAAGCGGCTGCTTCTTGAGTTCAGCAATTTCCAAGTTACTCAGATTTTCTAAGTCTTGGGAATCTGCAGTATCAGTAAGAGCTGGCAACGTGGCTTGCCTTGAAAGAATGGGTTTCTCCATTTGATCCCGGATTTGTTTGGCATTTTTTTTGGCATTCAAAGCATTGATGCTATTGTCAGTATCGTTCAAGTCTTGAGAAGCTTCTGAGCTACCCAAACTTGGTGGGGGGGATCCAGTAACAGCATCAGTAGAGCCGGGATGTGTGTCCTCATCCTCATCCTCATCGTCAGTGAATCGATCATCCTCACCATCCGAAATCATCATACAGGGAGTAGCATCACCATCGCCTTTATCGCCATCATCATCATCATCGCTTTCATCATCGGGATTCCCATTCTCCAGAGCAGCTGGCTCCTCGGGATTTGGATCAGCTGGCTCCCTTGGATCAGCTGGCTCTCCGGCAGGTGATGGCGACTCGTCTGAACCGGATGAGTCATCATCGTCGGGCTCCTGGCAAATGGGCTGGGCCCGGCGAGTGCAGGCTGCATGGGAAAGGAAATAAAGCTATAATTAGCTAACTATATAATTGGGTTTTAATTTCACCTTTTTTCCATGGTTATTCTTTTATAAGATATAATCCCTCAACAGTACAACCAATAAGTTTGATTTTCTTTTCGTTTGGCAACAGGACCCATCCTCACCAGTGAAAACCGCCATCAATCGGCGAAAGTTTCTTGACCTAGCCACTTGGCCACGAGAGCACTTTCGCTTCACCAGCACACAAAACTTCTTGCACCACCATGCATCAAGTTTGATCTGGTCCCGGGTGAAGCCAATGTTCAAGGTGTCGAACAGCTTTCCAATCCTGAAGCCAGAAGGGGAATCAAATTCAACTTTGGGAAGACTAGGTACCAGAATGCCAGCACCATACAGATTGATTTACATACATTTAAAATGGAATCTGTCCATTGTAATTTTTGAAACGGGGGTGATGAACTCTGTACCATAGAAGGTATGTAAGCCACATAAAGGAAAAATACCCCAATGGTCCCCAATGGTTTGTTTCCTTGGAAAAATGAAAAGTGAAACAGATAGAACAGAAATTGTTTGGAAACTTCCCCAAAGATTCCAGTACTGGGGAAATAAATTTCAAATAGACCCAGCTAACTAGCAAGCCACTCCTTTTCCAAGCATGGGATGGAACACATGCCGATTGCAAGGGTTTCAGGGTTCACCAGCTTCTTGAGCAAGGGGATGAGCACATCAACATGCTGTTCTGCACCACGGATATTGGCTTCCAAAGCCTTCCCCCCATTTTGAGCTGGAAACAAAGAATTGGAAAACCTCAAGCGATCTCGGATTGCGAGGTCCCTTTCCCACTCCTCAGCTAACCCTTCAAGTACTGCACTGGTAGCCATGGCCACTGAACAGCCTGGGTCACTATGTTCGATCCTGGCCAAAATCACTGCAGACATGAGCAATATGACTTTTGACCAGAGGGCCATGCGACCTCATTATGCACTTTCATGTTGATTGAAGTATAGGGAACCTTTCATTCTGCATATCAGAGCCCATGATCAGATAAATACATCACCAACTACGCCACCATCAAACTCGCAACCTGGAGTCCCACTTAATTATCGTGATCTTGGCTCATCAAATTGAACTCCCCAAAGGATGCCCATGTTTCATAAATATTTTTTTGGTTGATTTACTAAAAATCAATAGTTTAACACCCTGATGAAAATGGCTGCCAATTCTTTGGCTGCTATAGCTACATGATGATGGGTTTGTTCCCACCAGAATCCAACAGATACCAATTGGCCACCATCATGCCGTCCTGCCACAATGGCCACCAAGGCCCGGACTTGGTAGCAGGTCTTGTCATTGATGATGGGCAAAATGGAAAAAGCACAGACAATTGCGGCCAATTGGGCCGTTGCTGCGGGTGGGAAAACCCTGGGAAGATCTTAGAGATGCCAATCTCAAATAAATGCCTGAATGGCACTGATGAACAGTTATCAAAATCATCGAGGATCATCTTATTTATCAACCGACCCCTTGATATCATCCCAAAATATCCCAAATGAAGTTGTCCATCATGTTCAAAGATCCCAAGATCTTCTGGGAAGCACCTTTTGGAGTCTTACATGGTATCATCAGTTTATCAAATGAGGCCTATATCAAAAGTACGGTACCTTTGCTAAAATGCAGGATTTTGAGATGAAAACCCTTCTTTTTGAAAGGGCATTCCGTTTTGCAGGTCATTTAGGTTACAGGTATATACATACTATAGTACGAATCAAACATGCTCTGCGGCCGCAATGTTAATCTCCCAAAATCTGGGAAAAATAATGACCTTACTAGTAGGAGCGGCAAGTATTATTCCTATACATGTCCTACGTTTATACATTTTGAGGATGCCACGCTAAACACAAGCGGTGTGGAGTCAGTCCGTGTCAGTCCCACGTTAGGAGTCGACGAGCGCTGCCGACAGCACCGAAAAAAGCATTGGTTTGGAAAAAAATGCGATGTGGGAAAGGAGGAAAGGATGTACCCAAAAACCATGAAAAGTGGTGGATTTTATCATCGAACATGGTGATCAATCGTGCTTTTGAACCGGAATGAGGATTTGTACCCTGAGATGATGGGCGATTTCACAAGGGCAACCAAAATAGGATTGGAAGCTGAACGGATCGAATTGAAGTAACAAATGCCAGGGTTAAAATGGGGGATCCCCAAGACCATGGCTTTCTAAACTCATCGAATTTTCTATCGGGGGGAACCCCTATTTTAAGAAATCTCCATGTGGGGTCAACTAGCCATGAAGGAACTGACCAACGAAGATGAGTACGTAAATGGTTGGATCTGATATTAAATATATAATCATATATATATATAATCATATATATATAATATGTATATATATATATACATATACATAGAAACATATCATGTCAAGTGTTGTATGTAAGACATGTGTACCGCGAAGTCTGAGCCATCCTCACCAGTAGTAGCCCATGGTTGCAACGATTTCGGTTCAGATGGCTGGTGGGATATGGCCCAGCGGAGGCCTCGACCCAGGTGCACAGCAGAAACGTGGGGTATACCCCGTAGTTGTGAACATGAAAAGGCATAGTGAACTCTGATTTCTGATAGATTTATAAATAATAGATGTATCATAGATTTATAGTGGTTGTGTAGTAGATTTATAGTTGGTTGATGATAGATTTGTAGTGGTAACCCGTAGATTAACATAACCCTGTTGACAAAAGATCTATAATATAATATATAATGTTTTTTTAATGATCGATTGTGAACTTGTGAGCCAGGTATTGTTGCTAGGATTGTTTAGAATGGATACCCGTAATTTAAAGTTTCCGAACTGGAAAATGACCAGTTTATAGTTTATAGATGTTTTGCCTATTAAAATGGTTCCACAGCTGTGGTCAATTACCAGAGGGCATGCTGGGCACCAACTTCTCTTACGAATCAATTTAACTGGATCGAAACATTGTATCTTACGTATTTTCATGTATTTGCATGTATTTGTTGGATTCGTAAGACTCAATATCTAATTTCGTGGATAAACGCAAGAATCTCCAGTTGATTAGGGTCTAATGTCGGAGTTCTCCTGAAGCTGAATATGTAATTGGGCCATGATCGGGGCAACCTAAGTCGGTATATTATACATACGTAATGATACATCTATATATGATATATAATATTCTATGTGATTCATTACATTTCATTGATGTCAGTGTATGGACATACTGTGCTTAGTTCATAAATCTTATATAATAATGTGGGTAAAACAAAATATAAACCATCCCCCAGTCATCACCATGGATATATGGGTGGCATGGTTACCATTCCCAGTCATGGGTGGTTTATGATTGTTTTAACCACATTACAATATGGTTGATTATTGATTTACCATAGATTTACCAGTGAATATAGCCCATTATTAGATAGCAATCTATGCCCTAAACCCAGTCCATCGAGGTGCCATGGCGCAGCTGGCGCTTCGCTCGTGCCGCAGCATTGTGGCAGTCAGGCGGTCTGACAATGGGTTTTTCCGGGTGACAGGGAGGTTCTGAAGACGATGGGTGTAACGGACGATATGGATTTCATGGCATTTAATGGTGTTTAATGGGGTTTAATGGGGTGTAATGGGCTTTAACGGAATTCAATGGGGGTTTCATGGGATTTCATGGTATAACCATGATAGAACCAACTGAGATAATGGGTTTGTCTGAATATGGAGCATATTACAGTAGATTCGCAAAATTGCCACACAAAAGTAGCGACTATGATGAGTAACCAGTGGATGGAATGGGGTACCCGATTTTCAGGCAAACCCATATGCTAATGAAATCCGGTGCGGCTCTTCGATATTACCATATGTTATGAATTATCCTCTAATACCCTTTGGTGATCAAACATGGCTGGCTGGGAAATCCCCAAACAAAATGGACATCTACTGTGTCAGAATAATCTATTGCAAATCATTGAACGGATCCGTTTTTTCCATTGCCATCTTAGATTACAACAGTGTAAGAAACAAATGTTCAGCACGAGGAGTCGCTGGATTTATTGGTTGTCACAGTCCTGGGAAGTGACAGAAAATCAATGAAAATCACATCCGGTAATTATGATACCACCCTTCCCAAATAAAACTTTCCGGTCATCAAACATGGCTATGAAAATCGTACCATTTATAAATGAAAATTTCCAGCTAGAAACCTCCAGTTCGGGGAATTTCCCGTTGCCTTGTTTGACTGGATGATAAGTTGGTTTATAAACCCATCTACCCTCTGGTAAACTAACATAACTACGGAAAATCACCATGTTTAATGGGTAAATCAACTATAAATGGGCCATTTTCAATAGCTATGTTAAATTCCCAGAGGGTAGCTATAGATATACTTTCTGGTTAGCAGTTTGTGATCTGGAAAACCGCCATGAAAATTGTTTGTTGTAAATAATCTACTTAATTTACAGGCCATTTACCAGTTCGCAAACTCTGAAATTACCAGATGGTATCCATGGGACACAATAGCTAGCAATTGATGATGTGTGAAAGAATCCATCTATTCTGAGGTATTTCCAGAATCTAGTATTATCAATCCATTATAAACATTAATTATCAACATGTACAAATCTAAAAAGAAGATTCCATCTATTCTAAACTATAGGTAATTTCTATAGAATCTGATATTATATATAAATCTATTAGAATCCAGCTGGTTGGTGGTCTGGAACATGTTTTCCATAATATATGGGATGTCATCCTTCCCATTGACGAACTCATATTTTTCAAGATGGTTAAACCACCAACCAGCCAGATAGAAAGATATGTCATATTTGTTGACATACAATGACTCAACTAGGTCGTTTCCATGGCAATCAATCCAGAAAGATGAATGTCATATGTAACAAATGACTAAACTAGTACTAAACTTCTAGTTATTTATATATATATATATACATATCCTAAGTATAGAAATTGCTCAACTAGTACATATGGCAATTTCTATATCTGGAAATTTAGCATAACTAGTACTATATCTAAACTGCTGCTAGTTGCCATAAAAACCAAAAACCCAGATTTCTACATCTTTCTATGGCAATCCCTTTTTTTTTGCCCGCACGTGAGGCCGTTGCTGGGCACGGCAGCGGCACCGTCCGCGGCACCTGCCGCTGCCGGGTTCAGGTCACGGGCGTCCGCAGGACGGATCTTGTGGATGCCAATGGGGATGTCGGGAAAAGATCATATAGATCAGATATATCCTATAATATGGTATATCTATCTATCTATCTATCTATCTATCTATCTATATATATATATATATATCATACAATATGATATATCTATAAATTGTAGATAATACAAATGTATGATTACAATATGGTAGATATCTAATATGGTATATCTAATATAACGATCATAAAGAAAATATAATACAATATGGGATATCTAATATATATATATATGTATACTGACAGGCTAATATGTATATACATATGTGTTAGTATAGATATAGACATTTAAATACGAATAGATAGATATAGAGATATATAGATACATACTGTGGTCGCGAGATGGTGGAATCTGATGATTTGCAGTATTTCATAGGCATAGGAATCCCAATAGTTACCAACCGGTGCAGGATTTCTTCATATTTCTTCGATCCACAGTATGATATGAACATTGGGGAAAAGCCAGTTGACCATCCACAGGTTCATCATTAACTGGTTGGTGGTTTCAAACATTTTTTATTTTCCATAATATCTGGGATAATCCTTCCCATTGACTTTCATTTTCTCCACCTGCCAGGTGAGGGTTGTTAGATTTTATCACCTCCTCCGCCTCCTCCTCCTCATCCTCCACCTCCTTCTCCTCCTCCTCCCTCTCCTCCAGCTTCTCCTCCACCACCTTTGCATCCACTTCCATGTCCACTTCCGCCTTGCCAACTCTTCGCCAACTTCCGCATGCAGTGGGCACTGCTGGACCTCAACTGCCGGCGTGCGATAGGAGTGGGCACCGCTGGACCTCAACCTGGGACCTTCCGAGCTCAGTGAGCACCGCTGGACCTCAGCGGCCAGATAGAATGCCAGGAGATATGCCAGATAGAACGCCAGATGGCATGTCAGATAGAATGCCAGAAGATATGCCAGATGGAACGCCAGATAGAATGTCAGATAGAATGCCAGATAAAACGCCAGAAGATATGCCAGATAGAATGAGTTCTGATATGCCAGATAGAATGCCACAAGGTATGCCAGATAAAGTGCCAGAATGTTTGCCAGATAGAATGCCAGAAGATTTGCCAGATAAAATGCCAGATAGGATGTCAGAAGATATGCCAGAAGATATGCCAGATAGAATGCCAATATATATGCCAGAAGATATGCCAGATAGAATGCCAGAAGATATGCCTGATAGAATGCCAGATCGAATGCCAGAAGATATGTCAGATAGAATGCCAGAAGATTTGCCAGTAACAAAACGTATAAATGTCATGGTGGGGATCACTCGAAGTAAAGTAATTTTCAAGGTGGTTATTGCACCACCAAGCAGTTAAGGATTTTTTACTTTTCTATGGCAATTTTGGGTGAGTTCCCCAGTATCAGACTCACCAGGGGAGAAGAATGCGGTGCGTCAAAATCCCGCAAGTCGACCTTTGAGAATCACCAATTTCTAATTGTCTAAAGGAAAGAATTTCCTTCCAAGCCTCATCTCCTGGGGTCTGTGGACATTGGGGACAGTAGTGCGTATTTTGTGGCTAAACAGGCTAAACAGCCGAGAAAACTTTGGATTTCACCAAATACAATGGGGACTTGACCATGAAAAAAAATGCATTTTGCTCAGAAATGGATGCCGAAATGGCCCCACAAAACCAGCGTTTTCACGGGGACGGAATGGTATACTATGCCGCCAACAATAGGATATGGCACATGGTCTTGTCTCGAAATGGATGATGACCCATCTTTGCTTTGAACGGAGAAAATGCATTGCCACAGTCTTGAAATTTGCGGCCCAACTTGGGTTCACTTTGCACACATATCCTTGATTTAACATAGAACCTGAAAATGGAGCGTTGAAGATGATGATCTGACTATAGTGGATATGGCCCTTGGTGGGTTCAATGTTAAATTTATGTAGGGGATATATACTAACACTTGACACATGCATATCAACCTATTTGAAACCAAAAGCCCGCGTAAGGATCGACGCAAAATTCCGGCCATCTGCGGCCAGAGACCCAGACAACTTCATGTATTTGGCGATGTGTCCGGTGG